TCACATAAAGAAATTGAAAGACAAAAATCACATGATCATACCAATAGATGCACTAACTGATGAACAGAGTGGATCCAGAGACATGGAAGCATGGAACAGTGCAGAATCTCAGAGGGAAGGTGGGGGAGGATAGGTGGGTAGGAGGTAATCAAAGACCCTGTATGCATATGAAGGGGAGGGGGTAATTGAGGGGAAAAGGGGACATGTAATACTTTCAGCAATAAAGAATTATATATAAGTCCTATCCTCCTATATAATAAAAGCCTTATATGCAGATTGTCCCCTTGGGTGGTCATTCAACCAAGAGTTCGACCGCCCACTATGACGAGCACCGACCACCAGGGGGCAGCGCGGACCATGGTAGGCATCGGTGATGCAGCGCTGGCAGCGGGCAGCAGTGGAGGCACTGCTGGCCCCAATGGGCCCTGATGAGAGCAGGACTGTGGCGAGATGGTGGAGCAGGGTCTGTGAGGTTGGGGGCGTGAGCTGGGGCCCCACCCTTGCACAGATTCGTGCACTGGGCCTCTAGTAAATAAGTAAGTAAATCAGTACCTCTCCCCACCTCTTTCTTTCAGTACACACAGATTGTACAAGAAAGGCTGAAAGAATCGTCTCATGATGTTCTGTATATAGAGCCTCCATTTGATGATTCCATTGCTGAGATAAGTAAAGAATGGAAGAGCTCTATGGCAAAATTTAGGTTTGCTAATACATATAGAATGGAGCCACTCAGAAAATTCCAAGCTCATTCAGTAGAAGCTAAAGTCCAGCAGATATTAACGGTAGGTTGGTAAATGTGTGTGATATAATATCTAAGCCAGGGGTCCTCAAACTTCCTCTTTTTTTTAAGATTTATTTTATTGATTTTTTTTACAGAGAGGAAGGGAGAGGGATAGAGAGTTAGAAACATCGATGAGAGAGAAACATCGATCAGCTGCCTCCTGCACACCCCCTACTGGGGACGTGCCTGCAACCAAGGCACATGCCCTTGACCAGAATCGAACCTGGGACCCTTGAGTCCGCAGGCTGACGCTCTATCCACTGAGCCAAACCAGTCAGGGCCCTCAAACTTTTTAAACAGGGGGCCAGTTTACTGTCCCTCAGACCATTGGAGGGCCGGACTATAGTTTTAAAAAAAACTGAACAAATTCCTATACACACTGCACAGATCTTATTTTGAAATAAAAAAACAAAATGGGGACAAATACAATATTTGTATTTGCATGTGGCCTGCGGGCCGTAGTTTGAGGACCCCTGATCTAAGCTTTCGGGATTTGGTAAACTATATTCAGATTTATGGCAGTATAATTACCCTGATTGTTTTTTTTATAGCACTTAACTCTGAAAATATGAAAGTGCTTTGGGTTTGTAGTCAGTAATCTTCACATTGATGCTGTGAGTTAGATTAAAGGGAACATGCTTCTATTTCATTTAGCTCTTAATTATCCATAAACTGTCCCTCTGGTTCCATATTTCGCCCATAATTGGAGGAATGAGTGAAAAAGAACACATTGGATGTGTGTATTTATGTGAAAAATTGGTTCCTGACTATGCTAAAAGATCTTTTAAGTATAGACCATCTCCAGCTTAGGCATCTGTTCTTTTCTTCCTTAAACTTACTGGAATATAAAGTTCATTAAAACAGTTGTTTGAAACTCAAACACATGATCCCAGGCTCATTCAAAAAAGCTTCTCAATTTTACAAAACTAACCCTATAATACTAATATTACTACCGGATTAATTTTACTAGTTTTGGTGTCTGAAGGCTACATTGTTCAGATGGGAGGAATTCCCTTCACCATCTTTTCTTGATAAAGGACCAAATTACAACACTTTTTATTATAGGAAATTCACTTGAGGCACCACTTTTTCTGAATCCCTTTTTCATCTTTGGTCTCTAGTTCTGGGCACCAGGCACCAGGAGTTTCCTGATAAGCAGATGCCCTTTGTGGTCTTCTGCCCAACCTCACCCCACTCCTTGTTTTAAAATTACCTCCCCCTCCAATTTACAAAATACATTCCTTCAGTAACAACTGATGTGAGCTGCCTATTTGGAACAAAGCATAGGTTTAATTTGGTTTGTAGAAATGATTAGTAACTTTAATTTTTAAATGAATCAGCTTTTATTTATTTATTTTTTTAATATATTTTATTGATTTTTTACAGAGAGGAAGGGAGAGAGATAGAGAGTCAGAAACATCGATGAGAGAGAAACATCGACCAGCTGCCTCCTGCACATCCCCCACCGGGGATGTGCCCGCAACCCAGGTACATGCCCTTGACCGGAATCGAACCTGGGACCCTTCAGTCCGCAGGCCGACGCTCTATCCACTGAGCCAAACCGGTTTCGGCGAATCAGCTTTTATTAATAAAGAAGAATAGTTAGGTCACTCTCCAATTTCTCTTCACTGTATAGATACATTTCTAAATGGAACTAATAATTATCAGATGATATTTGATGAAGATGTAATGGCTCATGGCTTCAGGAAATAAAGCAATTCAACTCAATTTTACTACAATAAAATGACTATTGATGACCTTCTTTACTGATCTAAACACTAATAGCAAGCATTTGTGATGCGAGAGTACACATTGTGGTGTGTCTCTCACTCAGTTCTACCACATAGACTGGGTTCACATTTATTGAATATAGCAGGACTTCAAATCATATTTAATTTGATAATTTATAGAGTTTCATTGGGCTTGATGGGGCCTAGAACAGCTTATTGGGGATGTAGGTGAATGGCTGGGGTCATGAAGAGGTCAGGGATTTCCCTGGAGTTCAGGGAACACTGAATGTAGTTCTAGACACAGAAATAGTATATATTGATGGAGCTTGTGGGTATTTTTCTATTGGGAGTGCTTATTTATTTAAAAGAGAGCCCTTAGGTAGAGAAAACCTGGGATATGTTAGGCAGGTTCAGAAAAGGGAGTGGTTGTTGCTAAGTGTCCAAAAGGTACAGCCACAGCCAAGTGCCTGAGGGAAATCAATGCTTCTAAACCCCATTTTAGACCCAGAGCATTCTAGAAGGGAGCCAAAACAAACAAAAAGAGCTAGTTCTTTGGTTTTACTAGTGCATGCCTGTATGTTTAGCTAGGAGTCCATTTGTTGTCACTCAGAACCCAGAACATTGGTTAATGTATCTTTGGTCCCAGTCAGCCAGTCAGAGGCATATGCTGTCTGCTCCCGAGGTGGTCCAGGCCTGCTTAAGGCTGGGAGGGAAGTGTAGGGCTTCAGGGCCCACACCTGCCCCCTCCCCCACCGCTGGATGCTAATTCACTAACAGGCAGGGTGAGAAACCTGACTTCCTTGGCCACGGGAAAAAATCCACAGTCGGAAGCATAGGGAGAGGTTGGGAAGAAGTGGGCTTTCACCAGAGGAGACGAGGAAGAGGGAGACAGGAAAGGCCCGGTGCAGCTCCGGACCAGGTTGCCCTGCTGCAGGGAATCCCAAATCTGAGCTTTCGCAAGGATGTGCACTTTAAGAAGTTGGTTTCCCTACCAAAGAATTCCCAGAAGCTTTCCTTCAAACCACCCCCCCCCCCCGTGTCTCCCCAATTGTCTGATAACAGTAATCTAACACAGGGAAACCTTCAGCTCAACCAAGAGTAATGGAACAGAATCAAAAAACCAAAATAAGTTTTCTTCAAAATTGTGATTGAAATAAATTGGTAAGCATGACATGTAGTTAATATTTGGTTTAAAAGTTATATGTATTATTTAGACATGTTTTTTACTTGAATTTTTATTTAGAAAATATTTAGTTTGAAAATTAAGGTATACTTTTTAATTTTTTAAAGGAAACTCTTAAAGATGTCAAATATGATGATAAACTCTTCTCTCACTTGTCGCTTGAATTAGCAGACATCATATTGTCAGCAGTCAAAGACTTTGGGTACCACCGTTATAAATTGATTATAAAGGTATTATTTATTCAAAAGACTGGCCAGGCAATAAATGTAAGTACCCCTTTATCAGTTAGAACTACGAGGTCCATCCTCTGTAGTGACTGGGTGTCTCTCACTCAGCCCTGTGATGGCTCCAGGGCATATCAGGCCTGGGGTGCCTGGGAATGAAAGAATAATTGTGTTAAATTTATGTTCTCTCACTGCAATTATTTGAAAAGTACTTAGAAATGACAATTTCTATTGATAACCTATTAAATTATATAGATAGCCTGTTTCTTAATCATCCTATTTTGACAATTAATGTCATTTACTAACCAGTAAATTTATTTTAGGCATTAATGGGTGTTAGATACTGAAGAAATTAGAGAATTATAAGGAATGACTGATTCTTGACTACTTTTTACTCTAGTAAGAAAATAAAGCAACACAGCTTAGAGTTTGAGAAAAAAAAATAATGCAGGTAGTGTAACAGCCTAGGATTGGGAGTCGGATTGGGTTGGATATGAATCCTGGCCGAAACACTGATGATAATAAACTATGATGATAAAGAGTTTATTATGGTAGTTTTTTTACCTATAAAATCAGGATAATAAAGTCTAATTGCTGGAGTAATTGTGAGGACTAAGTGAGACTAACTGCATTCAAGTCCTTAATATTTTCTCCAGCACAGAGTCCTCAATAAACAGCAAGACTATCATTATTTACAAACTAGAGGCCAGGTGTACGGATTTGTGCACTGGTGGGCTCCCTCAGCCTGGCCTGCACCCTCTCGCAATCTGGGACCCCTCAGGGGATTTCGAATAGCTGGTTTTTGCCCAATCCCCACAGGCCTGATCCAAACAGGAGGAAGCCTAATCCTGTGCATTGAGCTACTGACCCGGGAGGTCAGTGTGCCTCATAGCAACTGGTGGACCAGTCCTTTGGTTGTTCAGTCGTTCGTTTGCTTAGACTTTTATCTATATAGATAAAAATGCAACCCCACTAGGCCAGTGGTTCTCAACCTTCTGGCCCTTTAAATACAGTTCCTCATGTTGTGTGTGACCCAACCATAAAATTATTTTCGTTGCTACTTCATAACTGTAATGTTGCTACTATTATGAATCGTCATGTAAATATCTGATATGCAGGATGGTCTTAGGCGAGCCCTGTGAAAGGGTTGTTCGACCGCCAGAGGGCTCGCGACCCACAGGTTGAGAACCGCGGTAGATGGTCATCAGTGCTCAGTGAAGAAAATTAAGGTGGGAGGTGTGCTAAAGTGACAGTGACTCAGTGGGATTGTCTGGAGACAGAGAAGGCCCCTAGGGGATGTCTTAATGACAGGAAGAAGCCAGCTGTGCCAAAGGTCAGGGAGAACTGCCAGCAGAGAAAACGTGGTGAGCAGAGATGCCCAGGCAGGCTGAACTCAGTGTGCTTCCGGAATCCTCTGTGGCTGTGGGATGTTCAGGGAGCGTCTCCTCACAACGTTCCTAGAAGGCAAGAGCAGAAGACCTCTTAAGGCCTGGCTTGGAAGTTGCACAATGTCACGTTCTTTTGCTCAAAGCAAGTCCCAATGACAGCTGATATACAAGGGGAAACAGACTCAACCTCTTGATGGGAGAAGCCAGAAAGGACCTGTGGCCATTTTAGAGGCACTGCAGAAAATTAGGTTGTATCAGACCACACGTGGCTTTGTAAGCAAAGCACCGGAGTTAGCATTCTCCCACAGCCACGTGTATAATCAGTGCCATTTCTTCATTTTGAGACAAGGTCCTAACAAATTTTCAGTTGGAAATCTCTTAAGGGCAGGAAGGTTAATTCCTCAAGATGGATTACAACACAGCAGAGTAGCACCGTACCGTACACTGAGCTACTAGAGCAGTGGTTCTCAACCTTCCTAACGCCGCGACCCTTTAATACAGCTCCTCATGTTGTGGTGACCCCCAACCATAAAATCATTTTCGTGGCTACTTCATAACTGTGACTTTGCTACTGTAAACAATATGTAATTATATATGTGTTTTGCGATGGTCTTAGGCGACCCCTGTGAAAGGGTCGTTTGACCCCCAGAGGGGTCGCGACCCACAGGTTGAGAACCGCTGTACTATGCCCAAACCACAGAGGGCCTCCTGGTCCTTCCCGGACATCCTGCCAGGATGGGTGTCTGCTTCAGACGACAGCTGTGGTGAGAGAAGCGAAGCGGGCCCCGGAGGCTTCACTGTCAGTCTCCCCAGGAAAGGGACAGAGTGTGTGTTAAATGTGTAACTCTAGCAAACCGACATGTCTTTAAAGAAATTGAGCTTGTGTAGGTTTTAAAATTACTTAACATGTTCAGTCTAAAGTTAATTTTTTAAAATGTCTCCAGGTTGCCAGCCGATGGATCTGGGATGTTGCATGGGACAACTGGGTTGCAGCTAAACATGAAACAGAAACTTACGTGGCATTGGCCTTGGTATATGCTCTTTACTGTGAATAACTTGTCACATGTCCTGAACAATGTTTACCTCTCAGCTCCTCACATACATGAAATTTATAGATTTGTAAACCTCAGTAGTATTGATTAGCCATATTTTTATCTCCAATTGGAGCATTTAATTGCATTAACAACAAACAAGTAAAAGCTGGATTTTTCTTAACTTCATGCTTGTACTTACCATATTTATTAACACTATTACCTCAAAATCTAAAATATAGGAACATATGAAAGCTTACAGTAGATTATAATATGGGAATATTATCATTCTTCTTAGATTTAAGAAAATTATAATTGACTATAGGAAATTATGACACAACCTTGTAAAGTATCAAGAAAATGTTAAGGTAAATTTTGGAAACCTTCTAAAGGCAGATGTATTTTGAATGGTATTTTAATGCACTATATGCATTCTTTTGAAGAGAATTACCAAGTTTTAAAGAAAAATGTTGATAAATTTCATACTTCCCTAACGAATGACTCCTTCTCCAATCAGAATGCTTACAAATGTGTGGTCTTTCTCTTTGTTAGTCAGGAGAGGCAGAGCTGGCCAGGAATAGGGTATTTGAGTTGACTGCCTTGTAGCTATAATTGTATGTAATTGGGTTAGGCTCTTTTTAGATGCCAGAACCAAAAACCTAATACAACTGTGTTTTTAAAAAATACGTTTTTGTTGTTGTTGTTTTTTTTGTTTGTTTGTTTTTAGAGAGAGTGGAGGGGAGAGGGATAAAGAGATAGAAACATCGATGAGACAGAAACATCATCGATCACCTGCATGCCTCCTACTGGGGATGGAGCCCGCAACCCTGGGCATGTTCCCTGACTGGGATTCAAACCAGTGACCACCTGATTCCTGGGTCAATGCTCAACCACTGAGCCACACTGTCTGGGCTAATATAATTATTTTTTTTAAACAAGAGGAAACTTATATTTCCCAGGCATTTGATCAGGATGCGTGTTCTGTCTGTCTTTGAACTCTCCCCGCAGACTTCTATGTGCATTTGTTTGAGCTGATAGAACGTAATCAGGTCCCATAGCTAGACGACACAACTCACTAGCTGGGGCTGAGGCTGGAGCCCATCTTCCCTGATCTCGTGGCCATGTGAAAAGAGAGGCTGTACCTGAACATTGGAGCTCTTGGAGCAAGGCAATGAGGGATGGGCTCGGGGGAGGCAGCTGATCACGTCTGAGACAGTTCATGCACTTTGATAGTCACGTAGTCACATGCCGCTCACGATGCTATGATGGCTGTCCTGTCCCCTATAATAAAAGGCTAATGTGCAAACTGTCCCCTTGACTGGGAGTTCAACCAGGAGTTTGACCTGGGGACGGGGCGGCCCACCAACTGCCCCCCCCCCCCCCACTGGCCCAATCAGCCCCGATTGGGGCGGGCCAGGCAGACCCCACCCATGCACAAATGTGTGCACCAGGCCTCTAGTAAGGTTATAATAGAGCCAGACACTTCCTGTCACCCAGTGACATGGTAGCAACTGCAACATTGCAGTGCAGCACATCTCAGCTGCCCACGGCATCCAGTGCAGGGACATGCTGCACAGGCTTGTGGCCAGGAGCAGCAGGCTGTTGCACGTAGCCCAGGTGTGCAATAGGCCATGCCATCTGCACATGGGTGTGTGTACAACAATAAAATCGCCGAGTGACCCATTTCTCAGAACAAAACCCCGGTCCTTAAGCACCACATGACTACACAGGCAGACCTTGGAGATACTGCAGGTTTGGTTCCTGACCACCACAATAAAGCAGATACCGCAATAAAGCGAGTCTTGTGAATTTTTTATTTCCAAGTGCACATAAAAGTTATATTTACACTATACTGTAGTCTGTTAAGTGTGCAGTAATATTATGTTTAAAAAAAACCCAATGTACTTACTTAAATAATACTTTATTGCTAAAAAGATGCTGACCATGATCTGAGCCTTCAGCAAGTTGTAATCATTTGCTGGTAGGTCTTGCATTGATGCTGATGAAACCACAGTATCTGCAAAGTGCACTAAAAGGGAGTATGGCTGTAATCAGAACTTGAAACACCGTGTCAGACTTAAAGGACAGTAAAAAGACCCATTAGTTGAGGAACCTGTAAACAGGAAGACAAAACAGCAGAGGGGTTTTCTTTTTACGTTGTATTACAATGACGGATCGTCCAGGACTCACAGTTCCGTACCACACAGCTTAGACATGATCGCTGTAGCCCCAGGAATCTGCAAAACTGGAGCTCTCAGCTGCTAACTCGCCACAGAGAAAACTGGAAATAACAAACCCATGACATAGTCCATGTTCAGCAGTGTACCTTCCTGATGAACTTGTCAGGATCAATTAGTTGTAAAATATACTGCCTGTATTTGAGTTGACCGCCTTGTAGCTATAATTGTATGTAAAATGAGAATTACCCTTGTTCCTAAGGGTAGTGCTGTATGTGAATTGTAGGTAATATACCATCAAGAACTTGTGCCCAGCGCTTAGCATAGCCTTGGAGCATACTAAGTCCTATGTTACCTATAACCATTCAGTTTAACATGTCAGAGTTACTTTAGCTCTGCTCTTTCTCTTGCCCTTCTCCAAAGCCCATATATTTACTTGTTAAATTCTATAGATTCTGTATTTTTAAAGTGACTCAAAATTAGTCACTATGAAACATCCCTAACCTGACTCACTGCGTCTCAGGCTCCTTTCAGAACTCCTCCCTCTCTATTTCCACGCCTCCAGGTGTATTTTGAGTTGTTTTCTGGACATTTCCCTGAGGAGAGTCCCACTGCAGCGTCTCAAGTGAAAGCTGTTTTTTCTCTCAGATCCTGATGCCTCAGAGCCAAGAGGCAGGGTAGGCAGCCCCAGCTCCTGGACATGTCTGCTGTCTGGACATACAGTGCTCTACCTCTGGGTCACGGCAGCCTGCAGTTCTGGCTTGTTCCTTCTCATTGCTGAAGACCTGAGCTCCGACGACAAGCTTCCTCTCCACTCAGCTCCTGGCATCCTTTGTGACGTCAGAATCCATGCAGGTAATCATCCAGGCCGTCCTCGCTGTGCACAGTTCTGATGTGTACAAATTCTGGTTACCATAGTATTAGCCCAGCATCAGCCGTCCCCGAACAACCCGGTTCAGATTTCAGCTGCCACAGTATATTGGCTGTGAGTAATTTCGGAAAGAACAAACTCCACGTCAGCTCCTCAGTCCACATGCCACTGTGTGAGCAGCAGATAGCGTCAGGGTCCTGTTTTCAGTCTGTCAGTCTGTCAGTCAGGGCCACTGCACATCTTCGCTCAGCTCCTCACCTGCAGCCACTTGCTTTCCGCCTGTTACAAGGATGGGTTGTGCTTCCTCCCATCAGAGGCTGCTTGCCTTCTGGCCTTCTCAAGGGCTGCCTTCCAGCAGCCATCACCTCTTATCCAGCATCGCGATTTCTCACCCTCCTGCTGAGTCATTCTTGGCAGCAGGCAAACGGGCTCTAGATTCTCCTATCTTCAAAACAGCCACCCAGCAGACCTCTTTCTTTCTTGCTCTTTCCAAGCAAGCTTCTGTCCCTACTTGGATCCAATTCCTAGCAGCCTATTTCTTCTTGACTTCAACCTAGCTTCTAAAACTGCTACTACATGGAAATATCCTGAAACAATTAAGATTGCTAATTGCCCTCAAATGCTGAATAAAATGGACATTTATCTGTCTTTATCTAACTCACCTTCTCAGCTGACGTAGTTGGCCAGGCCCTCTTTCTGAAACACGACAGTGCTTGACACTTAGTTCCCTTCCTTCTCCTCTATCTCCATGAGTATCTCTGGCCTCATGTCTCGGGCCTTCTCCTCACCTGTGTCTGCATCGTCAATGGTAAGTGGGCTCATAGTTGTGTGGCCTTTTCACTTCAACACTGTATTGTTAGTGCCCAACTCAGGTCTAACTTAGTAAATAGTAAGGCATTATATTCCTGTCACCTAACATAGTCCTTAGTTCATAGCTGATTTCCATAAAATATTTGTGAAGTCATTGAATGGGCATTATTATTCCAGTCCCACAAGCGAGGAAATGGAGGACCTGAATTAAATAACAACCAGGTCGCACAACTAGTGAGTGGCACGCTGGTTTTCAAACTAAAATCGACTTCACACCATACTGCCTCTCTGTGCAGCTTATCCCTAACTCTAGAAGCTTCCTTCATTTATCCTATTCTCAAGCCAAACTGGAATGATCGATGTACCTGAATATGCCTCCTGTTTTCCCACTTCTAAGTCTTTTTGGGCTTGAAACCTTATTTCTGCTTCTAGTAGTACCTTTATCTGTAGCTGTCCTACTAATCTTTTACTTTTCAAATTCCATATCAACCTTAAACATCTTAATTCTAGTTGTAAGTAAATTTCCTTCCACCTAAACGGCCTTTACGTATAATTGTATATTTATATTCTTTCAGCATTGAAAATACCTATGGGCTGGGATTGTAATCTACATAGTGACTCCTTAACATTCTACCTTGAAAGGCTGAATCAGTGTTTGTTGACTTGGACTGAAGAGTTTTAAATGTGTATTTGACTAGCAGGGGCCCTCAAACTACAGCCCGCGGGCCACATGCAAATACAAATATTGTATTTGTTCCCGTTTTGTTTTTTTACTTCAAAATAAGGTATGTGCAGCGTGCATAGGAATTTGTTCATAGTTTTTTTTTAAACTATAGTCCGGCCCTCCAACGGTCTGAGGGACAGTGAACTGGTCCCCTGTTTAAAAAGTTGAGGACCCCTGGACTAGAGGCATTTCCCAAGGGAGAAGAGTAGAACCAAAAACCTGAATATATAAAAATATTTATAGACATAACATCAAACACTCTCTCTCCCTCTCTCTGTACTAGTATATATATTAAATTCTATCCAGAGGCTCTGACTGAGGGCTTTGATCATTTAAGAGAATTTGGGGAAAAGATTTTGTTGCTTCTTGGCGGATTTAGGTCTGTTTTCTTCACTGGGTTTGTGGATGCTGAGAAGACACCTATTAAGAAGGGCTCCTGGTAGCTGACTGGGCTCAAATTTAAAGAAAACACAGAGTTTAGCAGCCTTTTCTGCACAGGCAATTCTCCTGCAAGCCAGGCATCAGCGAGAAACCTGCACCAAACTGCTGCCTGCACTGTGGCCTGGGCCTGAGCTGGCCCTTAGGAAGAAGTTCCTGCTTCAACCAATAGGACTGAGGCTCTCCTCATCCAATCGGAGCTCCCCGTCTACATCTCTGCCCTCCCCCGTCAGCATCTTCACAAAGCAACTTTATTCTGACCAATCAGGACAATGCCTTTTGGACCAATCAAACTTCGGATTTGGAGCAGCATTTGCATGAGAACAGACCAATGAGGGGCCAGGGGCAGAGACTGGTTTACAGAAGGCAGCTCCCCTCGGGCTGGCGGAAGGCAGCGGAGGTGAGACCACTGACCCCATCGCAGAGCCGGCGCCGGGGGCGACCCCATCGCAGAGCCGGCGCCGGGGGCCTCCCCACAGCCCTGCCGCTTCCCACTGCCCTCTGGTGACGGAGCTGACACGCTGTGGAGCTGGGCCACGCCCTGCAGGTCATGACCGAGCTGTTGGCGCTGCATTCAGTCTCCTCCTTCCTGCACCCCACACTGGGGTTCCTGTCGGTGGAATTGGCACCGACTGTCAGGATCTCGATGGGGAAACGAGCTGGTCTGACGAGAAAGCCAAGTCTGACCCAGTTGCAGTTTGCGAGTCTGAAGTTGCTGGTGATGCCGGATCTGATGATGCCACTGGGAAGTGGAAGCAGACCGTTTGCATTTATCGTTTTCTGTTTCCAAACTTTCTTCTGCTGAGTGCAAGCCAAAATAATGAATGAAAGGGGAGCCACATTGAACCCTGACTCCAGGCACATTCTCTGTGGTCCCCGAGCAAGTCACACACATTCTAACGTGGAGGGTGTGCGGCTTCCGACGTCCTGGTCGTTGACCCCGGCTGAATGCCCTGCCGAAGCGCTCGCGGCTCGTGTTTTTACAGGGAAGGCCCGGGAGCGGCCGAGCGAAGCCTGAGCGGCTGGGTTAATTCAGTCCCAATCCAGCGGCTCCCGGTCCCTTGGCCCCTTGCAGGGCCTGCCTTGTGCTCGGGAGCCCAGCGCGATGACCTTCAATGGCCTGAGGTTAAGGCTTCTCCCCTTTAGACGAGAAAGAGGTGCGATGAGGGCCGAGGCGAGGGAGCACGGCCGGAATCCGAACGTCCTGTGGCCTCTGCGGGTCCCGTCTGACGGGCAGGAGGAAGTGCCTGCAGCCCTCGGAGCTGCCGTCCGTCCTGCCCCGGAGCCGTCGCGGCTCCGGTCCTGACGCTGCTGCACGGACAGCGGCATGGCAGCGACCTTCTGGATCCGCGCGCCCAGGGAGGTGGACGGGAATGAGCTTCCGGCGGAGCCTGCGGGGTCCCCGAGCGCGCGGTGCGGTCCGGCGGTTCGGGGGCAGCAGAGCCCGCCCGCCCGCCCGCGGAGAACAAAGGCGGGCGGGGGCGGCGGTGGGGACGGGCCAGGGGAGGGGAGCGAGGGGAGGGGACCCCGGGCTGACGTGTGCGGGGCCGGGCCGGGGGCGCGGGCGGGGGCGGAGCCGGGCCGGGGGCGCGGCGGGAGGTGGGGCGGCGCAGCGCGGGGAGCGGCGGGGTGTGCGCGGCGCCGGAGCTCGGGCTGCAGGAGCTCGGGCTGCGGGGCGGCGGGCCCAGCGGCGGAGGGAGCGTCGGGCGGCGGCGCGGGGAGCGGGAGTCGGCGGGAGCGGGCGCGGGAACCGGCGGGAGCCGGCGGCGGGGGCTGGGCGGGCGCGGAGCCGGGCGCGCGGCGCTGGCGGCGGCCATGGCGGTGGCGGCGGCGCTGGCCCGCGGGGCGCGCGGCGGGAGGGGCCGGCCCCCGGGCGGCGGGCGGGCGGAGGGGGCGGGGCCGGGGCGGCGGGCGGCCCGCGCGGCGGTGGTGGCGGCGGCGGCGGCTGGGCCGAGGCGGCGGCGGCGGAGGAGGCGGCGGCGCGGGGCGCTGGGGCTGATGGCGGCGGCGGGGCCCGGGGCGGCCCTGTCCCCGCGGCCGTGCGACAGCGACCCGGCCACGCCTGGAGCGCAGTCCCCGAAGGTGAGGAGGCGGCGGGGGGCCGGGCCTCGGGAGGCGAGGGACGGGCGGGGGCGACCGAGGGGCCCGGGACCCCTCGCCACCCGCCGCGGCCCAGCGACCCGCGGGCGGACCCCCGCCGCCCTCTCGGGGGTTCGCGCGCCCGGGCGGTGGGGGGTCGTTTCCGGAGGCCGCGGCGGGCGGGCGGGCGGGCGGACGGACCGCGGGACGGTCCTGCGTGCCGGTGCCCCCGGGGCTGGGCGGCCCTGGACCCCGGGCGAGTCCCCCCGCGCGTCCCGGGGCCTCTCCTTGGGGGGCCCCCTCCTGGGGGTGCGGCTCGCAGGTGCGGGCGCCGGCCCGCGGTTTGAACCCGCGGGGAGGGAGGAAGTGACGCGAGCCCGGGCCCCGCCCGGAGCGGAGGTCGGGGAGCGGGAGGCGGCCCGCGGCGGCGGCCGGGCGGGTCCCGGACACGCGGGCTCCCGGGTCGGAGCTGGCGGCCCCGGCGTCCCCGGGTGCAGCCCCCGCCGGGGGTTCGGATCGCGAGTCCAGTGTCGGCGGAGGAAAGGGGTCCCGCCGCCCCGAGGACCTCGCGTTCTCACTTCCGGTGTCTCCCGCGGGCCCCATTGCTCAGCCAACGAAAATGTCAACAAATTGACGCAAAAACCATTAAAACCCCGGGCGTCGGTGCGATAGGAACCAGCGGCCTCCGAACGCGTCCGGGGCCGATGACTGAGTGCGACGCTTCCGCTCGGACGCGGTTGCCGGCGTGTTCGGGGTCCGGGGCAGACGGCCCGCCGCCGGGTGTCCGCGGGCGCACGGGCTCCTTCATGGGAAGTTCACTGTAGGAGCCGGAGGGAGAACGGGGCGAATTCCTGGCGGCTGGAGCCGTTGGAGACACTGTCATCACCATCATATTGACTCACTTTCCATGGGCGCTGGGTTATTCGCCAGAAAAACGCCCTGAACGCGCCTGTGCAGGTGCTAGTTCCGCCCTCTCGTTAGCCAAGCCCCACGGAGCCCCGGCTCAGGTCTGCACTGGGGGGGAGGGGGGGCTCCGAGGGCTCCCCTGGACCCCTCCGCGTCCAGCCCGCTCCCAGCAGCTGCCGCTTCTGCAGGCTTCCTCGCCTTGTAATGTGGATTTCACAGAATAGCACCAGTCCCAGGGAGCCGCACTACCCAGGCTTTTTAAAGAAATCTCTGTTAAGCCTTCTGTTCATTAAGCTTTAGCTAATGTGTTTGTAAATACATTCCCTGACATTTGATACCACATTCATTTTCTTAATGTAATGGTCCGACTTACAGCCTTGATATTGTCGTCACGTAATGGGTGACGTCACCTACATTGGTTTAAGCCTCTTTTTTCCTGTGGGGAGGGAGTTGCCATGTAGAGTGATGACTCAGGTAGCTAGCTGGTGGCCCCTTGCACGGATTCATGCACATTGAAAGGAAATTAATTAGAAGAAATATTTTAATATTGCTTTTTGCCCTTTCTCAACATAACCCACAGCCGAAGGTGGAATGTGCGGCCCCACGAGGAATTGGGCTCCCTCCCCTCTGGTTCTGGGTAGCCTTTTATATATATAGATGTTTTTGCTAAATTTTTGCAACATAAGAAGAAAATTAACAGGGTTGGTAACCTCTTTCTAGTCCTTGTGTGTCCTCTGAGATATAAGTTCCTAAAACAGCCAATTAAGATAGTCCTGTGGCCGGAACCGGTTTGGCTCAGTGGATAGAGCCCCGGCCTGCGGACTGAAGGGCCCCAGGTTCGATTCCGGTCAAGGGCATGTACCTGGGTTGCGGGCACATCCCCAGTGGGAAGTGTGCAGGAGGCAGCTGACCGATGTTTCTCTCTCATCGATGTTTCTAACTCTCTATCTCTCTCCCTTCCTCTCTGTAAAAAATCAATAAAATATATTTAAAAAAAAAAAAGTCCTGTAAACCAGCTGTAATTTGAATTAAACACTAAATGATCCATATACTTTACTTTTAGCTGGGATAGGAGGCTTGCTTGAATTTTGAGTATCATATCAATTTCATGTTAATTTTCATTAAACTAGAAGGCATTTTAACCTTGGTTGTAACCTCAGTTGGTAAGAAAGCAAAAGTAGATTTAGATTTATAGGTAAATTGAGAGGTTTTTTTAAACTGTATTGAAGATCAGTTTTTTAGCTTTTTCCAGGTCTTGCCCATGCCACATTCTAGGCCTCTTGTTAATTATAATAGAAAGTTAACATTTGTATAACCAGTTGTCCTTCGAAAGTCTCTGAGTCTTGTAACCAGTCTGGGAAGTACCTTTCTTCCGTATTGTTTGTTCTCTGACTGTTTAATCTTTACCATGTTTAGGATGACAATGAAGATAATTCAAATGACGGGACCCAGCCATGCAAAAGGAGGCGGACGGGCTCCGGAGACAGCTCCCGGAGCTGCGAGGCCTCCAGCCAGGACCTCAGGTACTGTCCCTCACGGCTTGCCGTTGCGCTGTGGTGTGTCCCTTCTCTGCTTCGCGCTCCCTCCTCCGCCCCCAGCCCCGGAAAAGGCCGTCCTCAAAAATTGTAGAGTATGTTTGTCATGTTTCACAGTGTGACACCAAAGTGGCTTTTGTTCTCAGTGCAATTTCTTTTTAATTTGGTAAAATGCACATAAAATTCACCATTTAAACTATTTTAAAGTATATAGTTCAGTGGCATTAATTCCATTCATAGTGTCGTCTAGCCATCACCACCACCCATTTCCAAAACGTTCTCACTACCAAAAGCAGAGACTGCACGACCATCAAGCACTAGAAGTTCTCGTTTCCCTGCTCCCCAGCCCCTGGCAGCCAGCACTGTGTCATGATGAATGCGTATTTGAGGCACCTGGTGGAAGTGGAATTATACTATGTTCATTTTGTGTCTGGCTGTGTCTTCAAAGCACATCCATGTAGTAGCATGGATCAGACTTCTCTTTACGGCTGAACGATGCTGCGTTGTATGGAGGTACCGTGTTCGCTTATCCATTCTTCCACTGATGGACGGTGGGCTCTTCCCACCTTTTGGTTGAAATCATGTTGCTGTGAACATTGGTCTATACGTACCTGTTCAGAGTCCTGTTTTCTAGTCCTAGTTAGAGTTTGTGGTAATTTTATGTTTTCCACAGGAGATGCACCATTTTATATTCCTACCCAGAGTGTACAAAGTTTCCAATTTCCTATCCTTATCAGTTTATGTCAGCCGAACATAACTGGGGCCAATTCAATGCCAATAGGAATTCTCAATTTGGGGTGCAGCGAAGGAAACTTCATTCAGTGCAAACAGCCGCCCTGGGACCAGGCTCCCCTCCAGGAAACCACTCAGTGGGGGAAACAGTTCTCAGTGGTAGGTGGCAGCTTGAGGCCGAGGGAAGCTGGCTTATGGAGACAGAATTCCCACCCCTAGTCCCTGGTTGGTCTGTCCTCCTGTAAATGAGGGCTCCAAATCCTTACAGATTGATTAGGCTGAAAGTCACTGTCCTGATTGGGCAGATAAGAGATGCTCTGATTGGTTCGCGAAGAAGGGTATGGATGTGGCTGTCCCACGGAATCCTCAGGAAAGCCTCCGTCCTATTGGTTGAAATGGGCAGGGAAAGCCTCCGTCCTATTGGTTGAAATGGGGTCCAGGGAAAGCCTCCATCCTGTTGGTTGAAATGGGATCCAGGGAACCTTCCTAAGGGCTGGCCCAGGCGCAGGAGCAGGCAGGCACCCCTGCAGGCTCCTCCTGATGTGGGCTTTGCAGGAGAGGCCCCTGTGCAGAAATGTTTGCGAGGCTCTTTTTAAATTTGTTTTATGTTTTTTAATTTAAGCCCAGTGGAGTCACCGGAAGCCCTTCTTCGCAGGTGTCTTTCTCAGGGTCCACAGTTATTTTCTGGTGTTTTTTTTGGGTAGCTGTTTTAAAGCCATGGAGTGGTATGTCACTGCGATTTGATTTGAACTTCCATAATGACTAATGATGTGGAGCATCATTTCATGTGCTTATTCCCTCTTGTATATCTTCTTTGGAGAAATGTTTGTTCAAGTTCTTTGCCCATTTTTAAATTGGATTGCTTGTTTTTTTGTTGTTGAGTTGCAGTTTTTTATATCTTCTGGATATTAATCCCTTATCAGGTACACGATTTGCAAATATTTTCTCTCATTTTGTGGGCTGTCTTTTCATTCTGTCGATTATGTCCTTTCATGCACAAGTTTTTAAATTTTGTCAAATTCCTCGTTATCTTTTTTTTTTTTGCTTGTGCTTTTAGTATCATATCTAGAACCTATTGCTAAATCTGTGATGGTGAACATTTACCCCCTATGTTTACGTCTAAGAGTTTTCTGGTTTTAGTTCTTATATTTAGGTTGTTGATCCATTTTTTGAAGTAATTTTTGTATGTAATATGAGGTCAGGGTCCAGTGTCCCAGCACCATCTTGGAGAAAATGTTCTTTTTGTTCATTACTGTTTACTGGATTGATGCCTAACGTCGTGTCACCTTCCTGCCTCTGATACCCGCTGAGGAGATTCAGAGGTTGGGTCGGCCTGGGCCCAGGAAGCTGTCGTCTGCCGTTGAGGATGGGGGCTGATCCGCAGGGCACTGCCCCAGCAGATGAGGTCCGGTCTTTGCCTCTGGATTTGTGGCGTCAGTGAGAACAAATAATTATGGGTTATAGTTCAGTTTATTGAGAAATAGGTTTTTACATCCTGCTTTCTCGGCTTCTTGAGACTCACTTCACATCTTGAGTGGACGAAATAGCAGCTACGGATGTCAAGCTCACGAGAGAGAACTCGGAACTGGTGCCTCCACCCGCCTTGGCCTTAACGCTCCGAGGCTGGGCTCTTTGTGGTGCGCAGAGGGCAGCGTTCCCATCGCCCTTTGTTTTGGCGTTCCAGGTGGTGGTTTCTTTCCCTCCACCTGCTGCATGGTTTCCTGTGACAACATATGAAGTCCTGGGAATGTCTTTGTATTGCAGTGTTCTGGAGGACTGAGAATTACATAATTAACATAGTTTTTCGGTCCTGGCTGGTGGGGTTCAGTGGGTTGGGCGTCACCTGTGCACGTGCCCGGGATTTAGGGCTCTTTCCAGTGGGGGGCGTGCAGGAGGCAGTCAGTCGGTGGATGTTTCTTTTTTGTTTTAAATATATTTTTATTGATTTTAGAGGGAATGGGAGAGGGAGAGAGATAGAAACATCAATGATGAGAGAGAATCATTGACCGGCTGCCTCCTGCACACCCCCTACTGGGGACCCAGCCTGCAACCCGGCATGTGCCCTGACCAGGAATCAATGGAACCATCACCTCCTGGTTCATAAGTCAGTGCTCAACCATTGAGCCACACCGGCCAGGCTAAAAAAAAAATAACCTTAAAAATAACATTGCATAGAAGCCACATGTAAGGCATAATGTGTATCTGTGTCTAGCTTTAGCTACTACCCAGCAGAAAACTTGATCGAGTACAAATGGCCGCCCGATGAGACGGGGGAGTACTGCATGCTTCAGGAGCAGGTCAGCGAGTACCTGGGGGTGACCTCCTTCAAACGGAAGTACCCAGGTACCGAGTCTCAGTTCCTGTAACAGGTTGATCTGACTGTAACTGATAGTGATGTTTTTGTTGGGCTGAGTGTGGATTATCTATGTGCTTATGTTCCTCTGCTGGCCGATCTCCGTTCACTCTGGCCTCCCAGCACCTCTCTGTGTATCAGTTTGTTCCTTTGCCTTCTAAACTGATTGAAAAGCAAAATGAGGGCGATAAGTTTCTTGGAGAAACTTTTAGAAAAATAATTGTATAGCGACACGAGCCAAGGGCTTTGGTTCGTGCCCATTGCTTCGCAGCCCGAGGGGAGGAGGCAGCTACGTACATGCACAGGGTCCGAATTCGAGAAGGGCTGTATCCTTCAGCTGTTTTAACGGGATTGGCGGTGTACCTGCTTGCTTTGAGTTATTCTATTTTGAGTTTCATTTTAAATTTTATTTCTTGAACTTAAAGATTGATTCTGTGTATAACACTTGGAATATATAATATGAAGTACTTTTTAAAGTCTTGGAATATTTTAACTTTTTAATACTTTTAAAAAGTGTTTTTAGCTTTAAAAAATGTTACAAATGCATAATGTTACACATGCAAACAACTCCTTGTAATAGTTTTTTGTCTTTATTTTTTTCTGGAGATTTAGAGCGACGAGATTTGTCTCATAAGGAGAAACTCTACCTGCGAGAGCTAAACGTCATCACAGAGACGCAGTGCACCCTAGGTAACCGGCGCTCCCTGAGCTGCGAGAGCCGTGCTTATCCTTTTCCTAAAACACCCTGCGGCATCAGTAAAATACATGGAATTATTCTAATGCCAAGTTATTTACTTTATTTTTGATTACTGTTAAAATAAGAAGGAGAACGGTGTATTTCGTGACAGTACCATTTTCTAATAACAGTCACATCAGTGTTAAAGAGTGTGTGTTTTATGTGCAGTATTTGTTTGGTACTTTTTAGAAGTATTGATCCATCTCTCTTAAAAGGCACATTTTGTTCCATTTTTAGTTCCGAATAGTTACCTCCATGCTTTACTTGTAATTTCCCTTTTACAAATATGTTAATGCAGCATGGCTACTTTTCATACAGCCGAGGAATTTATCTCAGCAGTTGTTGTCATCCGATATTGTGAGATTTGGAAATTGCCCGTCTGACTTGTGTTGTGTGCCAGTGCTTTAAGACTAAGAACTGTAATATATTGAAAATTCTTCTACAAAAGAAGCATTTGGCAGAGAAATTGATTTTTTTGCCTTTGCAATGTTGGTAATTTATTTCTCTTTAATTGTTTGACTTTATATTATGAATTTATTTTTATTCTCAAAGTATTGAAATATTTTGCTTGATTGATGGAAGCGTTGTACGTGCAGAGTAGTTTGAATGAGAAGCACATTGTAAAAAGTGGTTTTGCTCATTTAACTTTAATTGGGTTTCTTAACCTGTTTTTGGTCTAAAATAGGTTTAACTGCATTACGCAGTGATGAAGTGATTGATTTAATGATTAAAGAATATCCAGCAAAACATGCTGAGTATTCAGTTATTCTGCAAGAGAAAGAACGCCAGCGCATCACGGACCACTACAAAGAGTACTCGGTGAGTGTCCAGGTGGCTGGCATCGCTTACTGGGGTTGGGAGACGACACTTTGTGGAGTTATGTGTGACTGCCACCGGCCATCCTTTTATCTCAGCAAATGCAGCAGCAGAATACGCAGAAAGTGGAAGCCAGCAAAGTGCCCGAGTATATCAAGAAAGCCGCCAAGAAAGCCGCGGAGTTCAACAGCAGCCTGAACCGGGAGCGCATGGAGGAGAGGAGGGCCTACTTCGACTTACAGACACACGTAGGCACCGCCTCTCGCAGCCCTGCACCTCGCTTCCTGCGCTGCTGCCGAGCCTCACCCTGCTTATCCCTGTCACATTCTGTGCCAGCGGCCGGTCCTTTTCTCCCAGAACTTAGGCTGTCATTGTTAAGGATGGCCCGATGATGCTAAGGTTACGTGTGTGTGTGTGTGTTTGTGTGCACATGTACATGTCAGTGCAGGTATGCACGTGTGTATACACACATACATGTGTGTGCATGCATGCACATGTGCACACATGCACTTATGGGTGTGACTGCATGCGTGCACACATGTTTATGTGGAGCATGCATGCTTGTGTGTGCACATGCACTTACGGGTGTGACTGTGCACGTGTGCGCACACATTTATGTGGAGCATGCATGCTTGTGTGTGCACATGCATGCATGTGTCTGTATGCATGTGCATGCGTGTGCGTATATGGTTGTTTGAAAGTGTGTGTGTGCTTGTGCGTGCGCATGTGCATGTGTGTGTGCCCATGTGCAGTGTCTTTGCTTTGTGGAGTGCATTCTGCTGAAGGGACTGATGCTTCCTGTGTGCTCTGAGGGTGGTGGTCAGATTTCCCTGTCAGTTCGCTGACCTTCCCTGCCTGTGAGGTTGGATGTGGTTTTCCTTCCATTTCACAGACCAGGACGTTGAGCTGCAGAGGCTGGGAGCTGCCGGGCCACAGGGCTGTGAAGTGGGTGGGTGTGCCTTTCCCTGGAGCGGCCGCGGGAGAGGGACCGAGCCCCCGTAGAGCAGGAGGCTCCACTGTGCCCCTGGGCGGAGCTCCTCACTCTCTTCCGGTTTGGCTTCTGGGGGTGTCCAGCGAGGGCCTTCCCCTAGCGCCTTGGTCCGAGCCTGGGCTCAGTTTTGTGTTGCTCTTCCCGTCCCCCAGGTCATCCAGGTGCCTCAAGGGAAGTACAAGGTGTTACCAACAGAGCGGACCAAGGTCAGCTCCTACCCGGTGGCCCTCATCCCCGGACAGTTCCAGGAATATTACAAAAGGTGGGCAGTGCTTCTTGACCATCCCTGCATTGAATGCTGGGCACCTCGGACTCTGGAGGGCCTCCTCAGGGTTTGGCTCCCACCTCCCTGCGTTGTCCGAGGTCTGTGTCTGTGCCCTGCCTCCTGGGTCTGTGGTGGGAACTCCCTTCAGCCAGGATTTGCTTTCAGCTGAGCATCTGCTGGCGAAGCCTGGCGGCCCCCTACTTGCCCATTTCCCGTTCTGTGGGCAGGCTCCCTGGAGCGAGTGCGTACCCCGCAGCACTGGAGTCACGAGGACATGCGGGGAAGGCAGGCGCGGGCACAGCTCAGACCTGGGGCTCCTCTCACAGCAGCCTCCGGGCCACGTGCAGATAAAGTTGGAGAAGCCAGGGCTTTGCCTGCACAGGGCATGCAGGGCGGGCACGCCCTGGGCTGTAGCCACACCCCTGCCCTGGCCTAGCCTGGCTCCTCTCCACCCTATCTCCCTCCCGGCCTAAGTGAAACCAGGACCAGCACTGACAGGGTCGTGTGTCAGACCCTCAGCCTCTGTCCTTAGGACAGAGAAGGTGCCCTAGAGAGTAGTGTCTACATAGACGACAGGACAATACTGTTTGCAAGTCACATTTAAATCACGGGTCAGCGAGATCTTTAAAAGTTTCTGGGTACTAAGCCTTGTGCTTTGGGTGTGATGTCTTAGTTGAGGGGGCGGCTGGTGCGGCGACTGGTCACGGGGAGCGAAGGTTACAGGGAGCGCCCACCGGGTGTGCGGTCAGCTGGCTGCCGTCCCACCCCATGCAGGTGACATGGAGATTCCCTTTCCTAGAGCACATGCTTCACAAATTGCTTTCTATAACTTGCTGCTGAACAATTTTCTTTTTATCTTATTTCATTGATTTCAGAGAGGGAGAGAGAGAGAGAAACACCCATCAACTGCCTCCCGCGCGCCGCCCCTGGGGATGGAGCCCGGGAGGGGTCCTTGTCGGGTCTGTGCTGCTGCAGCTTCACCTTGTCTGCGACATTTGCGTTCCGTTTTGTTTTGTTTGGGGCTGAGGAGAGGAGGCGTTTGGCGGTTAAGAATCAGTGCATGTCTTACGCGCGGTCTGGTGGACGCATGGTCATGCCTTTTATTTATTGTCACTCCCGGGTCCTCAAAGGGACGTCTCACTCACTGCCTCGCATCGTTTCTCACAAGTATTGGGGTTCGTTGAGAGGGTGGAGGCTCTTCACAGCTCGAAGATGAGCCGTCCTGTTAACTGAAGGGACCTGAACATCTCTGCCTCCAGGTACTCGCCGGATGAGCTGCGCTACTTGCCACTGAACACGGCTCTGTACGAGCCGCCGCTGGATCCGGAGCTGCCCGCGCTCGACAGCGACGGCGACTCGGACGATGCCGAGGACGGGCGCGGTGACGAGAAGAGGAGGAACAAGGGCACTTCGGTGAGAACCTCTGTCCTGGGGAGGCGTCTCCTTCCCTTGCACGGTGCTGGCTGCTTGCCTGGAGCGTGAAGTCCCACTGGTGTCGCCGTCCTCAGTCTGAAAACGGCAGTTGCGTGTAGACGAGCTGCATGGCCTCTGTAAGCCTCATGTTGCCCTGGTGGTTGCCACGGCGGCGCAGGCAGGGGTGCCGCACCTGGTGACAGCCGGCACTGCGCCATCTGGCGTGGGGCGCTCCTTCCCGGTGTCCTGTTGCCTGAGTGGTGATGTCAGGCTCCTTTAGGGAAATGCTGAGGTTCCGTTATGCTGGTGGGTTTTCCTGGATGAGGCTTTTCCCAGCGAAATGCATTGGCCCCCAGTGTGCGCTGTGGAGTGCAGGACAGGTTCTGATTTACTCCTCACTGCTTCTCCGCGGCCCCCGAACCTGACAGGTGCTGCCGTTGGGCGGGCAGTGGCGGCTGAAACACGTTAGTGACCGGCCGCGTTTACAAGGAGGAGGCCGCCCAGTTAGTGCCGTGACTGCCCTCCTCCTGTCGCGCCGGCTGGCGAGGGCACGCCTCGCTGACTCGACCACGCTGCTAGCGGGGGTGTAAGTAACCCAACATTCCGGAGGGCACCGCGACAGCTTATGCCAAGATGGACAAGTTCCGCAGCATGCGATCCATTGCAAATACACTAAAAATGTACCCAAAGGACCCAGTCAGATGCTGACAAAATTTAATTAGAAAACAGATGTCCATTGGCGTGTTAATAGTATTTTTTACTGTGGAAACTAGAGGTGAATCTCATGTTCACAGTGGGGGAATGTGTTACACTTACAAGATGGAAACACAGTCCAGAGAACACTTAATTGTGACAAAATGCACATAATGCTTGAAGAGACTAAGGCACACAGTGTAATCCAGTTGTTTTGTAAAACCAGGGCCCATGTGTTGTGAGTGATTGGGTGTCTGCGTGTGCAGGCACGATATTTTAATTTCCAGTTTTCGTAGTTTATATGAACATAACGTTGCCGCTTTAAGCAGGAAGTATTAAGGTAAGAAGTGAATTAAGTGACCAGATACTGAACTCCTAAACTTTGAGCATCAAAACTATGTCGGTGACGTGGCCCCACGCGCCTACCAGGAGACACGTGTGTGCGGGGCGAGCTCCTCAGTGACCCGTCCCTCAGAATGCCCGTGCATGTCTAGAAGTTTCTTTTTAAGCGATACTGTTGCATGGAGCGAGCAAGCTCCCGTGGTGCGGCGCGCGGCCTGGGCTTCGATGGCCGCGGAGGCGACTGTCCCTGGGGAGACGGGCTGATGCGACAGGTGCGTGACTCCTGCCTTGGCTCGTTGAGTCTCCACCAGGTGACGTTTCTTATATTTAGAATGATCTCTTCGTTTGTAAGTCGATGGAACATGAACGATGGTTGGAATGTGTTCTGTGGTTTTCACGATTCCCTCAAACCTGTGTGAATGCCAAGGAATGTGCCTTTGCCCGCAGGACAGCTCCTCCGGCAACGTGTCCGAGGGCGAAGGCCTTCCCGACAGCCAGGAGGAGCCTCTCCCGGGGAGACCGCGGCCCAAGGACAAAGCGGCCACACCGAGGAAGGACGCTGCCAAGCGCTCGGTGCTGCCCAAGTCCGCCCCCGGGTACAAGGTAGAAGAGAAAAGCCCCTGACCAGCCTCCTTCCCGACCAGCCTCTCCCTGAAATGTTTGCCTTTGAACCTCCGCGTGGTGGAGCCGCTGCTGCCGCGCTCGCCCCTCTGGCCTGTGCTGTCCGCTCCTCCTGTCGGCTCTGTCTCCTGGTGGCTTCCTGTCACTTTGGCTGTGGTTTAGCTTCTGTTTTCTGTATGTGTACAGCTTCTAAGAGAACCTTTTTTTTTTTTTTTTGCTTTTAAATAATAAGCAGGCAAGTATGGGCTTTTAAAAAATTATTTTCTAGGCAGGACTTGACACTTTGTTTCCTCGGAGTAAAGGCCGTAGCTGTCGGACACCGTGCGAACCCTGGTATGTAGGAGGAGGCACCGCGCAGGCCTCCGTCGAGGGCCCGCTGTGACCTGGGGTGGTTTCAGCCACTCGTCAGGCTCCGCTGGCTCTGAGGGAGGTAGTAAGACCGACTGCAGTCGTGGTGTTAGCATCGCTGGGCAAGAGCGTGTGGAACAGTGTTTCCGGGGGCAGCGGCTTGGTGCGCCTGTTCTGTGTTTGGTCTGGCTGCTCTGAGTCGGGCAGCAGGCTGTCGGTGACACTATGGTGTCATTTCCGCCCGATGTCCCCTTCCCCTTCGGAGGGTTAGGCGGCTTGTAGGGGGATTCAGGAAACCACCCACGGGGGAGGCTGCACAGGTTCATGTTTTGGGTGGCGAAGTGAACATACAGTGTTTGGGTCTGGAATGTGTCTGGAATGCCTGTTACTGTGGTTAGGAAGGTGTTTGAAAGGGCCGTTAGGAGTGGGTGGTGAGGTTTTGCCGAGTAGAATTGTAGCGCTGTCCTGAGTCAGAGCTGGGACTGGAGGGAGAAGAGCAGGTCCCAGGAGCCCCAGCGGCGGCCAGACACCCCCCCGCCCCCGCACGCGGCCTTCCCCTGAGGGGAGCAGCGCTCAGCAGTGTATTCCACACTAGGTTAGAAAATGCCTTTATGTAATCAACTGACACCCTCGTGTTTCCAGCCTTGGGCAGACAATGCAGCGTCACCCAGCAGGGCTGGCTTCCAGGCTGTTGACAGGCAGTGGCTGCGTGATTTTTATACTTGTATTCACATGTGTAGCTTATATCATTTTTTAAACTAAAGGTTTAAGTTAACACTTAAATCACTGAAAGCAAATGAACTCCAAAGATTAAGTTTGGGAAGTTAGCGTGCGGGTGCCACACGTGGGCTGTGGTCTGCGGGGAATGGCCACGAGCGGACTGGCCGGGGTGGAGACTGTCAGTGACACGGGAATCATGGCCAGGGGGCGGGGGGGACGTGGGTGGAGCTGGAATGGAGACGCGTGCTGTGGTGACTGACTGTGGAGGGCACAGATCGCCTCGGTCCGGACTGGCGGGAGCCTGGCTGCGGAACACGCACTGCGCCTCCCGGACGGAACTGCGTCAGCGTTTCACAGTCTGGGACAGCCGGTGTTTAGAGCCAGTACCCTGATGTGAACACGTTTGTGGAAAGTTAACCTCTATGAAAGTATTAATAAGCCAAGATGTGCCTAAATATTAGGATGCTTCAAGCCGGAGGTCACGGATGTAAATGTTTAAATGCGCCTGATGTCTTGCTTGCCCTTAACGCGTAGGACAGTGTTGTTTAGTCACGTTAACCTGAGATGAAAGTGTTCTTGCTAGGACTCAGGCCCACGTCACAAGTACAGAATTAAGCTGTTTTAGTGCTACCGTGAAAGTCTCACTCACCTTCGGTTACGTTTTAAGCAGGAAAACAGGTGTGTTGTGAGCCTTTAGCTGGCATGCTGAGAACTATTGGGATGAGTATTAGTTTTCTTGTCAGTAGTGAAGCTGAGGTTGCGGTAGTTACAGTGGAACCGACTTATCGTCAGACATGCCAGGGGTGTTCTGTTCATTGCTCTTTGGGGGGCTCTGCCCACTCCCCATCCTGCTCCCCTGAATCCCCAATCCCTGAGACGCCTCCCCGCTAGCGACTGCTGTCGCAGGCCAAGTCCTGGCGTAGACACTGGCTTCTCTGTGCTGAGCCCGGCAGCATCTCAGAAATGCTGGAAGCGCCCTCTCATGTGCCCCTCCCCGTCTCCTCCCCCCTTTCCCTCCCCCTCCCCCTCCCCCTCCCCCTCCCCTCGTCTCTCTGTTCTCAAGATGAAGACTGCCGGATAAGGAGAATTGTAAGTGGTTTAACATACATGATGTTAAGCTTAGAAGTTAAACCTAGGATTTCCTTGGCGTCCCTTTTATCATAGGTGCCTCATGTGTATTTCAGTCATTGTGGGACTTGATCTAGAATGTGAACGACTAGCCTTTCGACGTCTGTAAGGGTCTCCTGTGAGGCGCTCTCCTTATAGAATTCCGTGTCGTGCGGCTCCTTCCTGGACGCGTCGCCATCGGCACGGCAAGTGCGTGTCTGACCTCAACTGCGGGTGTTAGAGAAGCGTGACTTTCACGTGCAGTGCCGGTAACGGAGCCAACAGGTGGTTCTTATCTGGGTAGATGGAGGGGTCGCTTCCGCTGTACATTATGGCAGTGACAGGTCTGACCATACGGAACTTGCACTTGGTCCTGGGGGGCGCTTCCTGGCTGTTTTCACAGAGGCAGGGAGCCTGTGAGCCTGATGCTGAGAATGTAGCTGTGACCACAGGGCACCACACTCCAGGCTGAGGTGTGAGCCTGTGGCAGGACCCTCGCTGGGGAGCAGGGTATGAAGATGCACAGGTGTAGGTTAGGTAACGGTCGTTTTATATGTATGTTTTACTTCCGTATTTATTATTTTGTAGAGCTATTTGTGATTGTTTAGAGTTACTGTTTTTATTATATTTATGTATAAGGTTGACTTTTTAAAATAAATAAGACAAAAATTATTTTTGAATGCCTCTGTCATCTTTTGCAAAGAAAGACAATTTGAAAAGTAAAAATGCTTAAATAATGTAAATTAAGAACAAATTGCATAGGCGAACAGGTTTGAAAGTGGCAGTGAGCCGTGCCAAAGATGGACTTCTAAATGCAAAGTCAGAGTTCTGTTGGCTTCTCTGTGGTTCAGTCAGGGAAAAGCAAGACGCATCTGGCTAGGCTGGACTAAAACAAATGTAATTCTATTTAAAATGACTCTTCTCCCCATGTACACACATGGATGTGCCCCAGTGGCCCTTGGCCATATTGCCTCTTCCATTTCTCCCGTTGCTTCCCTGCCCATAGAGCGTGAGTGAGCCTCGTTCCCGCCAGGCTGTGCTCAGCGCCTCCCACCTGGTGGTGTTGGGTGCGGTGCCCCTGCCCTGCTCTGATGCCCAGGGGCCACCGATTCTTATGAAGCCCAAATGCCTCCATTGGATTGAGCATGCTTTTAATATGAGAAGTGAATGGTGCTCAAAATATAAGGGTGTCTGTGTATTTCTGTTAAGTGATCATTATTTTCTTGTCTGAAAACTTTGTTTTATATCTTACTAGAGACCCGATGCACGAAAATTCATGCAAGAGTAGGCCTTCCTTCCCCCAGCTGCTGTCACCGGCTTCCCTTGGGCTGCCTGTAGGCACCTGGGACCCAGCTGGCTTCCCTCTGGCCCCGGCTTCGTCCGGAAGACGTCCGGTCTAATTAGCATATTACCATTTTATTATTATAGATACTGAATGCTTTGCCCCTAAATATGGGCTCTTTTATTATTTATTAGATGTACAAAGGAAATAATTTCACAACTTGGTTTTCCACAAACATTTGTGCACATGACAGTCTGCATGAGCCGTCTTTCAATAAAAAACGTTAAAACCTTGGTTTTATAACTTAGATTTCATAGATGCAGTTTTACAACTTTGGCAGATGTGTTTAAACAAAACCTGTGCATACGCTGCTCACACTGAGTCTCCTCAGTGAGCCTGGCTGAGTGGGAAGGGCCACGGGAACTTGGGTCTCCTCGGTAAATGGTGCCCTGGTGTGGCTGTAGTCTTCCCTCTGGTTCGCTGTACAGGGCGCAGGAGGCCCAGGAGTCCTGACGCGGGATCCCCGCTGACAATTTAAGGTGAAATCTGAGGCTTTGGTCAAGTTACGTCTTTCGAAAAGGTCCTCAGTAGTGAGCCACCAAAGTAAAGTTGAGGCAATAGTGAAATTCCTTTTGAACCCACAGCAGGCTCTTCCGGCATGAATTCATAGCCCTCTTCTACCCTTCCAGCCAAAGGCCATTCCCAATGCTCTATGTGGAATTTGTCTGAAGGGTAAGGAGTCCAACAAGAAAGGGAAGGCTGAACCTCTTATACACTGCTCCCAGTGTGAGAACAGCGGTAAGTACCACCTGTCTGCTTGCCGTTTTAACCACCTGTGTGTTAGTTGTCAGCTAGACTTGCCCCAGAGAGTTATCAAGTATTAAAGGGTCATTTGTAAGGCGTAGGCTAAGTCCATGCATTTTCTTCCAACTCTGCATTTTCATTTCTCTTTGATGATCTTAACCATCGTAGTAGCCATTCTTGAGAACTCACAAAGCAACTAGCAATTTATTAGCCATTTTAAGGTAAACATTCCCTGTGCTTGGTGAATCCTACTAATCTTGGTTTTGGTTTAGGCCATCCTTCTTGCCTGGATATGACCATGGAGCTTGTTTCTATGATTAAGACCTACCCATGGCAGTGCATGGAATGTAAAACTTGCATTGTGTGTGGACAGCCCCACCATGAAGAGGAAATGATGTTCTGTGATGTGTGTGACAGAGGCTACCACACGTTCTGTGTGGGCCTCGGTGCTATCCCATCAGGTAACGATCACAAACGAAAGGCCGGCCCCTGTGAGGGGATTCTCCCAGCCCTGACCTGCAAGGCGGCACACACACCAGTGACATGTGGGCCTGTGCTGTGACCCCCCCCCCCCCCCCAATCCACCTGCCGTCCGTGCCTGGCCCTCCCAGCCAAGGACACTGTGGTGTCAGGGTGACTAGTCCAGGTTTGGTGTCGAGCTCAGTACGTAGAATGAGCCACTGTTTTTCTACTAAAATAGCTAAAACGACAGCACCCCTTTTTTTTCAAAGCCTTGATTTTATTTTCATATGTCTTGGACACAGTTAACAAAATGATTCCTATGCCTTTGGACATATTGGTCCAGATTTCTATCAATTGAGGCAGCATAACAACCCAGGTAACTTTAGAAGGAACACAAAATTGAAGGATATATCACAGTATCTGGACTGAAACATTGCACACGTAATTGTGCAATGTCAGACCTCACTTGCATAGTTGACATGTGTGTGACGCTGTAAGAAAGAAGGCCAGAACTGCGCTTCCTGGGAATCACTAAGAAACAAGCAATTAGGTAACTACCTGAAGTCCTGCAGTCATTCAGACAAGCACTGAGGGCAGCTGATCCCCGTGCTGTCAGACACTCGGTCCCTTTAAAGCTGTGTCCGCCTCGCCCACCAGGACAAGGCTGCTGAGACACAGCTGCCAGTGAGCAGCAGCGAAAGGGCTGAAATGGGCGAGACGTAACAGGGTATGTTAGGGTACCAATGGCTGAACTTCCTGAGCCCGTGGTGCTGGGTTTCAGAAAGGTCCACAGCACTGCTCTGCCCACGCCCCACCTGTCACTTGGCATCGATGACACCGATTATCTTCCGAGTTCACACTTTTCTCCTTAAATTAAGGTGCGCAGTAGTGCCCTTCCTCCCACAAACCCAGAGGAGCAGCATTAGTGATAGCAAGGAAGGAGAGCTCAATGGGTTTACAATTCAGTCCTAAAAAAATTACATTTCATTCTCTAGTAACTAACAATTTTTCTCCTAGGTCGCTGGATTTGTGACTGTTGTCAGCGAGCTCCCCCAACACCCAGGAAAGTGGGCAGAAGGGGGAAAAACAGCAAAGAGGGATAAAATAGTTTCTTGACCCCAATACTGTAATATGCATTTAAGTGAATTATTTGGTGCCAACTTATTTCCAGTTCTCATTTTTATGCCAATAAAAGATTTTTGAAATGAACTCTGTGCTTAGAATCTGCAAGTTGACTCATTTCTGTTAAAAGCTGCTCGTACCCTGGGAACCAGTTTCAGGTAGAGAAACAGTTCATCTTCCAAAAGGTGGTTTCTCTCTTAGTATCGTGGCTTCTTTGGAAATTCAGAGGGAAGTCTTAGGCAATTTCATTTGAAACAATTATTCCTCCATTAGCCTGGAAGCTGCGATTATTTTTAGGCAGTTTTCCTAATCTTCATTGTTTCTGGCCTACCACGGGGACCACGACATGATTTAGTAATGGGAGACTCACAGTAGGCAGGCGGAGAGCTGGGATGGGGAGCAGCTGGGTGAGAATGTCCTTACCGCCAGGAACACCTGCCCTAGCTGGTGTGGCTCAGCGGATGGAGCGCCGGCCTGCGGACGGAAGGGTCCCAGGTTCGAGACTGGTCAGGGGCACATGCCTGGGTTGCGGGCTCGGTCCAATGTGCAGGAGACAGCCGATCAATGATTCCCTCATCATTGATGTTTCTGTCTCTCCCTCTTCTTTCCTCTCTGAAATCAATAAAAACATTTTTAAAAAGCCAGGAACACCTGCTGGGCAGGCGGGCCCTCCCTCCCGGGCGGGTGTGGACCGCAGTCCCTCCTGCCAAGGGTGCGGACTGGCGCACACTGAACTTGAGACTCACGAGTGACATCACGCCGTCGCGCTCTTACTCTGCTCTGACGGGGCTGCTGCTGCGGTTTCTTCTACGTGCACCTGCCCCCGCGCCTTCCTGCGCCGCCACCTGACGGCTGGTGCGGGGAGCGGAGGCATTTGCTGCGCACACGACTCTTACAGGAATTCTGAGCTTTAAGGAAAGCAAGCACCGGGCTTGCGGCTTCTCCTGCGTGTGGGGTCGCCGAGGTAACACGCTGTATGGCTTTATTTGGGACGGAGTTCCCGGCCGTCACGGTCACAGACGACGCGACGGGGCCCCGCGCCGTCAGAACAGGATCTCCAGGAGCAGCTTCAGGACGCCCAGGAGGATGGTCCAGAGCAGCGACTCCTCCTCCCGCGACGCGCCCTCCGGCTCGTAGGCGTGCGTGTGCCCCGCCTCCGCGCCGTCCGAGTACGCGGGGTCCCCGAACGGGTGCCGCTGGACCGTGCGGTCGAAATACACCTTCATCTCGAACTCGCTGTCCCGGTGCGACGGGTGCCCGTACACGCCGATGCCCACGGGCCGCTGGAAGTGCGCGGGGACGGCCACCACGTCGCGGCCGCAGGTGACGGCCTGCAGCTCGTAGTCGTCGAAGCTGGGGTGCAGGGTGCGGTCCGACACGTACAGGTCGGCGTCGCCGCGGAGGCTGCGCATGGCCAGCACGATGCGGCCCTCGTGGTTGAGCCGCAAGTAGCTGTAGTTGCCCGCGCCCACCTGCCCCTGCACCACGTGCAGCAGCACCCACTCGGCCGGGACCTCCTCCTCCTCCTCCTCCGAGGCGCCCGCGCGGGACGCCGCCGGCAGCAGCAGCAGCAGCGGCAGCAGCAGGGGCAGCAGCAGGCGCGGCGGCGGGGCCCGCGGGGCGCCCTTCCCGGCAGCGGCCATGCCCGGCGACGCCCGGCGCGCGACCAGCTCGTCCTGCGGAGACACCACGGGGGCCGCGCTGAGCACGCCCGGGGCGGCGCGGCCACATCGGGGCCACCTCGCGGCCCGGGGAGGCGGGGAGGGCGGGCGGGGCGGGCGGAGGGACTCACCTCCGTTCCCCCAGGGGCCGGGCCGGGCCGGGCGGCGGCGCCGCAGGAGCCGGAAGTCAGGCGGCGCCCGGAAGTGGGGTGAAGGCTGGGGAGGGAGGACGCTCCGGACGTTGTAGGCTCCGGGCTCTCGCGAGAAGGGGGCGTGGCGCCGAGCAGCGCTGGGGTGGTAACCACGGCGACGGGAGGGGGCGGGGCGCACACCCGGGCTCTGGGCGCGGCGCGGCGGTTGCGGACAGCGGTTCCCGTCCTTCCCCTGACGGAGCGTCCGCTCCACGGCGCTGCGCCGGGCGGCCCGGGGGCGGCAGGTGTGACCCCGGGTGCGGGGAGGGTCGCGGCGGGGGGCGCAGCCGGTGGCGCAGCCGGTGCCGCCCCATCTCCAGGGCGCCCTGGCGGGTGGTCGCCTCCCCGGCTGGGCGCGGCCTCGCGAGCCGGTGCGGGGGCTCGGTCCGCGGGGCGGGTCAGGCCTGAGCTTCGGAGCCGGCGGCGGAGGGGCGGTCAGGCGCGAGGCCCCGGGCTGCCCAGGACTTTCCCTTCCCCGGGAGCGGGGCGGGCGGAGGCGGAGGCGGAGGGCCGGTGCGAGCGCGGGGGATTCTGAGCGGCTGGAGCTGCCTGTGTTTCCAGAGGGAAGATGGAGCAGCCGCAGACGTTCCCCACGAAGGATGGGGAGGATGGCCGTGGGGGCGACATCGTCACAGAAAAGTTCCGGGTTCGGTCCACGCGGTCCGCCTCGCACGTGCAGCTGGCGTGTCGAGGGTCGCACTGCGCGTTCCCCGTGGACGGGACTGCGCTCTGCGTGCGGAGCACCGCGGACCCCCCCCAGCAGGTGCGTGCCCCCCTGCAGGTGCGGACCCCTCTCAGCAGGTGCGGACCCCCCCAGCAGGTGCGGGTCCCCCCCAGGAGGTGTGCCTCAGCAGGTGGGAACCCCCCAGCAGGTGCGGACCCCCCTCCAGCAGGTGCATGTCCCCTCCAGCAGGTGCACGTCCCCCGCAGCAGGTGCGTGCCCCCCGTGGCTTCTCGTTTTCCCTGGACACAGCGGTGGTCACCTCACCTCTGGTGCCGCCGGGGGGACGGGACCCCTGTGGACCCAACTGACAGCCCCGGGGACAAGGCGAACCCAACAAAGGCATTGCATTAGCTTTGATTTTTATAAAACGGCCAGGAATCGCTGTATTAAAAAAACTTCAGGAAGAACATGAGCAAGAACAGGTTCATCTTAACGCAGCCGAGAGGAGTTGAAATTTTATAGGTTTCTAACATGAACACATTTAAGGACATTTATTACGTTTCTTGCAGAATCTTCTGCATTAAGCTGGTGGAGTTCGGGAGACATGGAGTTTCATTCTAAAGCTGTTTCGTGGCGGCGGCGGCGCTCCGGGAACGCTCTCAATAAACCGGGTCTCCCGGCGCAGTGAGCGTGGCGCTGCCAGGCGGGTGGCGCTGCCAGGCGGGTGGCGCTGCGTGACTGCTGCCTCCCTGCGCTTCGGCGAGAACGGAGTGCTGCTCCAGGAGCCGGTGTAGCGTCCAGTCCTGCCGGCGGTCACTGTGCTGGCCGTGCCTGGAGGGAGCCTGCGCTAGTGTTTTGATTACCCCCCCCCCCCCCCCCCAGTTAGATCTGCATTCAGATCCCCAGCTTCCTCTCTTCCTTTGGCCGGGACCTGAAATACGGGAGAGCCTGTCCCAGAGCTCAGGGGCACACTGTGGTGGGCGTAACAAAGTGGTCCGGGGGGACCCTCCTGCCAATCAGTGCGCCTTCACCCCCTGAAGGGCACACTGTCTTCACTCGCACCAGAGGTTAGTGTGGCTGACCTTTGACCTTGGGGCACACGGGACATGCAGTATGCAGTCTGTCCCTCGTTCACCATCGTGCTTAGGAGGTTGGTCCGCAGTGCTCGTGTTCATTGCTGCATAGTATTCCACTGCAGGCAGAGACCACGCCTTCCCCCTTCTGGAGGTGGACATTGGTTTTGACCCCCCAAGCTGACCATTAGAAGCATGCTCTGATACGTCATGTGTGTGCTCCCCTGCGGAGTCACGGGGAATTTGTGTCTTTAGTTTGTGATGTTAAGGAGACTTCCGAAGTGGGGTGCCAAGCTGTACGCCAAATGGTGTGTGAGAATTCCACCTCCTCCCCTAGGCTTGGTCCTTTTAATTTCCGCCCTTCTGGTGGGCTTAGTGCTGCTGAATTGTAATTCACAACTGTCCGCGAAGGAGTGGCGTTCAACGCCGTGTTGTACGTTTATTGGCCATTTGGCCATTTTCTCTTTTTAGTCTTTGTGAAGGTTGAAGGCCGTGTGTGTTCAGTCTCTTGCCATTTTTCTACTGGATTTTTTTGTTTGAAGGAGTTTTTAATCTATTCTAAATATAAGCTTTTAGGTAGCATCTTCTGGAGTTTTATGTAAATGGAATCAGTGTTTACTTTTTTGTCTGACTTCTTTCATTCTGAGTAATTATTTTGAGACTTATCCATATTGTATCAGTAGTTCATTGTTCTTACCACTGAGGAATATTCCATTGTACGAATGGAATATTTATTTTTCTGTTGGAGGACAGGGGAATTCACTGATAAGTGGTGAGCAAAGGGCCTAACCTTCTGGTCACCATGCTGCTGTCTGTGTAAATTCAAAGACCTTAACCAACTGGTGACCACGCTGGTTAAAGAAAAACAAAATGAAAACGTGTTGAATGTGTTAAACCTTGTTCTTCCCCAGTTCACAAACCTAGTCACACCACTGCCCCCTCCCTGGTCACCCAGCTGTCACCTGCGTCACACCGCTGTCCCCTCCCTGATCACACCACTGTCCCCTCCCTGGTCACACCGCTGCCCCTCCCTGGTCACACCGCTGCCCCCTCCCTGGTCACACCGCTGACCCCTCCCTGGTCACCCAGCTGTCCCCTCCCTGGTCACACCGCTGCCCCCTCCCTGATCACACCGCTGTCCCCTCCCTGCTCACACCGCTGTCCCCTCCCTGGTCACACCGCTGTCCCCTCCCTGGTCACACCGCTGCCCCCTCGCTGGTCACACCGCTGTCCCCTCCCTGGTCACACCGCTGCCCCCTCCCTGGTCACACTGCTGACCCCTCCCTGGTCACACCGCTGTCCCCTCCCTGATCACCCAGCTGTCACCTGGGTCACACCGCTGTCCCCTCCCTGGTCACCCAGCTGTCCCCTCCCTGATCACACCGCTGTCCCCTCCCTGGCCACACCGCTGCCCCCTCCCTCGTCACACCGCTGTCCCCTCCCTGGTCACACCGCTGCCCCCTCCCTGGTCACACCGCTGTCCCCTCCCTGGTCACACCGCTGCCCCCACCCTGGTCACCCAGCTGTCCCCTGGGTCACAGCTGTCCCCTCCCTGGCATGCGGTGGGTGTAGCATGCACTGTTCAATCACACGCAGTGGGTAAGTGGGGGTGAGGGTGCTGCCCTTTCCTGCTGCCTGTTATTTGTGATACTGAGCTACATGCCATGCTGAGCTCATGAGATTGGTTTAGTAGTACATAGGGTTTTAATAAATGAAGACGCAAAGTCAATATATTTGAAAAATTCAATCCATTTATTTTTTTAGGTTTGAGGTTACATTGGCATGTTATTTTGTTTGTTACCTCTAATCAATGATGTTTTTGTGAATTTTTAAGCTTCTGATCTTAAGAGGACACCATCAGCCAATTACTGCTGTGGCGTTCGGCAGCACGGAGCACCCGCTTGTGGTCTGCTCTGCCTCACAAGACCACGTGCTCATGTGGAGGCTGGACGAGTGCAGAGAGAAGGCGCTTCACGGTGGGTGCAGCCCTGAAACCACTTCACAATGTCCCGGAGCAACTTCCCCTTAAATAGCTGGTGCACACAGGGGCTGGTCCTGGGTGACCCTGGGACCTTGAAGGCAGGTGCGGAGCTGGCGGAACACGGCCGAGCGAGAAGCCGCTCCCTGAACTCAGTGCGTTTAACCTTCACATTTTCTTGCGTTGGAACCTGTGACTTTAGTGGCACTCTGAAACGTGGAGGGAGTTGAAATATTCTTTCCCGATGGAGCTGGGGCAAGTTCACAGCTTGGAGTGGGAACGCACATGCGGGCAGCGGAGAGCGAGGCGCAGGCAGATCATGGCAACATGCTCACGGGCAGCCGTCCCGGCGGTGGCAGGCGGGAGGGTGGGCAGTGCTGGGAGCGCCTGTGAGGCAGAGGGATCTGGGGGCCTGGCCTGGGCGTACGAGCCTGGCCTCTCTGAGGAGCCGAGACCGAGCCTGCGTGCTGAGGGCTGTGTCCGAGTTTTATCAGATGCGCGTGAGACGTTGGTGACGACCACAGTATGGAGCTACATTCAGAAGTTACAGAATTACTCCTAAAATCGACTGAATTTAGGCAGCAGCCTCTATAATAGTTTATACTCCACCTTCTTTATAGTATGGTCATTGCAATATCAGTGTGCCACCACTGACATCTACACACGTGCACATGCATGGTAGCACACACATACTCATGTAAACACACACGTATGCAAAACAAACACACATGTACACACAGCACCCAACAGTACACAAACATGCATGTACGCATTACACAATATAGCACACACATACACATATAAACACATGCACACAGTACAACACACACATGTACTATATGTACATGTGTACACACTACACAATATAGTACACACTCACATGTGTAACTACACACATGCATGCAAACATAAACACACATGCACACACACAGCACCCACCCACCCACAGTATATGCACATGTGTATATATTATGTACACATACGCACACTACACATATACATACTCACACATGTAATTATGTGTACACATACAAATCCAAACATACACGCACACACAGTGTCAATACACATGCACACATACTACATACATACATGCAATGTACATACATGCACGCATTCATTATGTACACACATTATACAGTACAGGTACTCACTATGTACACGGTATATATCTAATACATACTACATAAGCATGTACATGCGTACACTGCAACACACATGCATAATGCACATTCACATGCATACACATATGGTATATGTGCATGCATTTATAGCACACAGATACACAAACGCATCTAGTACGCACATGCACAGCATGCATGCACACAGAGACGTGTGCGCAGTACACATATTTAGTACATTCATACACATTTACATATGGTATGTGCATGCATATAGTTCTAGCACACACATATACAAGCACACCTTATACACACATGCACAGTATATATGTACATACAGGCACACATACATACTACACACAGGGTACACATGAATGTAGTCCACGCCTTCAGGCACATGTGTGTATGGTATGCACATTTGCTGCGTATAGTGAGCCACCTGTTAGGAATCTGCTCCCTCCTGGGGTCTTGGTAAACAGACAGTCTCGTTGGAGGGGCCGGACTCCCCAAGTTTGTCTGTAAGCGGAGCCCCACGTGGATCTGGAATGTGGAGATCTGCTCCCAGGACGCAGGCACCGGGTCAGGGGCGTCCTGTGTCCCACCCTGCAGTGGGTCAGATCAAGCTCATTCTCCCCTTCACGGGGCTGCACGGGCGGGTTCCCACACGCTATTGGCAGTTCTGGGCAATTCCGCCTATTTCCAGAGGAATTTTTATATTCAGCGTGTCTAATTCTCTCAAAGAGCCAGTCGTCTGACAGCTCAGTCACCCCGCGAGCGTGTCCCTGCCCGGGAGCTGACTCCCGGGGACACGCAGTCCTGCCTCTGATGACCAACTAGCGGCTGCATCCCCCCCCCCCCCCCAGGGACGGACCCGTGCGGGCTTGTCCTGGGCGCCCGCCTGGGAGAGGTGCGGTGCGTGAAGTTCAGCCCGGACGACCAGATGGCTGCGGTGTGCGCTGGCAACAGGGTCCTCGTGCTGCATGTGCAGGTGAGAGCGGCTGCGGGTGGCGGGCACAGTGCGGGGCCTCGCGGGCAGGGTCCGCCTGCCTCTTGTCCGCGGCCCTAGTTGGGCGAGTTTCTGTAGACACGTGAGGGGAGTAAGGGAGCACTCATCTGTGTCTTGCAATGGAGGCCCCTGGAGACGACGCTGCTGTCTCATGTGGACGGAGGCCTCGCCGGGACGGACGGAGGCCCGCCGGGACGCCCGGGGACCAGGGCACAGACATGCTCCGGAACACGGAACGCAGAACACATGCACTTCCCGGCCTTCTCTGTCAGAGAGCTCACAGTGTGGGCCTTGCCTGCCTCTCTCTTACCAACACTTGCTTCCCCTTGAGAAGTGGACTTGCTCGTTGATGCTTCATCGACATTGGCTGATGTGGATGTGCTGCCACCTGCAGGTTCTGTGACCATTGAATCTTGTGTTGGACCAGGAACGGCTTTTGGGCCCGTGTCACACAGTGGGCGGGGCCCTGTTCCCTCGGACCCGTGGTCGCATGGGACGCGCTGTCGGGGCATGCTGTGGTGTCACGGGCACAGTGATTGAGCACGCTGTTGGCCCCCCGAGAGTCCCTTGCCGTGCCCATGTTAAAACCGTAGGGCAGGCAGGACAGAGGCAGGACGTCGTGTTGGTGATTGTGGCGGGACCTGCTGTGTGCGGGCTGTGGGGGCACACCTGCCTTTGAACACGTCTCTGCTCACTGGTTCTACGCTGACGGCTCACCCTGGGGAAGGGCAGTGTCGGCGGTGACCTCACAGACGGAGGCGGGAAGTGTCCTGGGACGGGGCTGGGGCTGTGAACACATCCTTGTGGGAAGGGCCTGCAGGGGGTCGGCCTCGGTGGTGTTTGTGGCCACCGGCTCCTGTGGCACCGGACGCTGTGCTCAGCTGTCCGGGTGTCAGCTCCGTGCACGGGAAGAGGGAGCTCTGCAGGGTGTATTTGAACAGAAACTCTTTTCTGTGAGACACAGGCGCCTTCTTAGCAGTCATTGCTGGGACATCCAGTGACTGGTCTCACTGTGCAACCCACAGAGCCGGACCGCGTGCGCCGAGCTAGAGGGGCACCAGGGCCCCGTGACCGCAGCCGAGTTCTGTGCATGGCAAGCGCATGTGGTCGTCTCGGGGTCTGAGGACAGAAGCTTCAAGGTAGGGCGGCCCCGCCCGCAGCCAGGCGGAGCAGAGTTAGGGCTGTGGTGTCTGCGCGATAGTTGCCCTCCTGACCTCCCGCCCCCGGTTCAGCCAGGCCACGGCCGGTGTGGGAGCCGATGGCGCTCACAGTGCCCCTTCTGTCCCCTATTCCCACGCGGGCTCGAGGCATCAAGTCAGCTGGGTGCCTCCTCGGATCCAGGCCTCGGGGAGAAAACTGATTTCTCTCCGCGGCGTCAAGGACGGCCCTGGAGCAGTAGAACCGTCGTCCGGTATCAGGACTCAATCAGAACAAAACTGGCTCAAGAAGAAAATAAATTAAAATGCAAGCTCAGTCCCCATCACAGTCCACATCAGCCCGTGTCATGATGGCTGGTGACCGAGGGAGGACGGTCTCCGTAAGGGAGAGAGAAAGGAGAGCACTGACCCCACCTGCACGGGAGGGACAGAGGAACGGCCTCACCTTCCCGGCCCCGGGACGGTGCCAGGTGCAGCCATGGGAGGGTGTCCCCCAGCTCCCGGCGCCCTCTGCTGCCCACAGCGGTGCTGCCGTGCTGTGCCCCTGCTCCTCTGGAATAATGGGGACTGGACCTGCGGTGCCATAGCCTCGCGGCCCTCGTGGGGATGAAAGGAGCTGGGTGTTGGTGAGCACGCGCCACTCTCCCCGCGAGCATGCAGAGCAGGTGGACACCCGCACGGCCTCGCGGGTGGGCTGGTGCTGGTGTCTGCCTCGCGCCTGGGCCGGTCTGGAAACGCGGTGCTTCCTAGGAGGCCACGTCTCACTGTGCCGTTCCCTTTTTGTCCTCCTGTCGCTGTCTGCTCTCCCAGGAAAGCACTTGCAGGGTAGCCTGTGGCTGCCTAGCGCGGCGGTCAGCAAACTGCGGCCCCCTGAGCGTGGCTCTTCCACAAAACACCACGTGCGGTGCGATTGAAACTTTGTGGCCACGCTCAAGGGGCCAAAGAGCCGCATGTGGCTCGTGAGCCGCAGTTTGCCGACCGCTGGCCTGGAGTGTTAGCTGAAGGACCAGCAGCAGCGGCGGCCACCCTCCTGACGAGCTGTGTCTGCCCTCAGGTGTGGGACTGTCGCACGGGGGCCCTGATGCACAGCTCGGCGGTGCTGACAGGTAACTGGCCCTTATGTTTGTTCGTTCTGCCTGTGGCCACGCGTCTGCGCTCTCCTGGGGCAGGTGTGGTCGGCACACGGAGCGCCAGTCGGGGGTCAGTATCACCCCTCTAGCTGCCTCACTCCCACCGACTGTCTTCATTTTAGCTTTAAAGTCTGAGCGTGGCTGGGAGCTGTGGAAGGTGGGGGTGTGGGGAGGCGTGGCCATGGCGCTGTCCCACAGAGCAGGGCCCGGAGCTGCGTGTTCGCGGGACACGTGCCCGGTGGGCTCAGGCATGTGGCCGGGTCACCACACACTCTCCTCAGTCCGTCCCCTTGGTTATGGCTGACACCGTCCACGGTTGCCACAGATACACAAACGCATTCAGCGTTTGCACACTGGCACCGGCGGTGGGGCAGGGTGCCAGCATGGGCCTCCGTGGGGCCTGTGAGATGCGGGGCCGGGTGACCTCCGTGCAGGGCCCCAGCGCCTCCTGGGAGTGGTTTCCTGGTCCCGCTAGGCCCAGCACTCCTCTCCTGGGAAGGGAGCAGGGAAGCCGTGTGAGGGCAGCAGGTGTGGCCCTGACTCCGCGTCCCCCGAGGGCCGCGGTCTGCGGGGACGGGCTGCTGTCACACTCGGCGGCAACACAAGCGGGGCCAGAGCCCGGGCCTGGGGATCGCGCTGGAATTACTTTCCTGAAATTGTGTGAACTACCGGACTGTCCAGAAAACAATTACAAACTTGGTTTTGACGACATTTATAGTTTTTAGGCCATGGGGTGTTTTTAAATGCCCATTTAGCTTAACTCTCCTTCCAAATTCTTGGCAGTTTAGATGCACAATATGTCTTAAGTGAAATGACATCCTAGGCAGCAATTTAAAAAGATGCCATTTAATTGCTGTTCATCATGAATCCTTAGCTTCACGGAGCCTGGCCACCCGAGGCCCGTCCTGGGGCGTCTGTGCTCCGGGCACTTGCTGTGCGGTCCCCTTGCCCCCCCCCCCCCCCCCGCCCCGCCAGCGACTCAGTGGGGGCTCAAGTGACGCGGGCAGAGACGCAGTCACCTGCCGGCCCAGCACTGTACTCGCTGTTTCTACTTTCTGTGCAGAAATGATTTCAGAGCAGTTGGAACTGACTGAAGGAATAAGTAAAGCTGAGAGTGTCCTTTAAACTGTACCAGCGCCTTTGAGGGTAACGTTCGTCTCTTCCTCTCACCAGCCTCCCCCCTCCTGAGCCTCTTCATCGATGGGGAGAGCCAGCAGCTGGTGGCCGGGGGCGCCGAGGGCCAGGTGAGGGCAGGGTCGGGGCCTCCTGGAGCCGCACACCTGGCTCACCCGAGTGACCGCTGTCACCCTGGAGTCCCCGGGCTGTCCCGGGCCCTGGTGGTGTGCGCCTGGGGGAGCCCGCCGGGGTCTGCAGAGGCCTGTGTGGTGCCCGCACCCGAGACAGTGCCCTCAGCCATGGTCAGCAGGGGCCGAGGGGTGGGGCTCAGACCAGGGCAGAGGCTCGGGGACCCCAGGGCCACGCGCCTTGTCTCTCGTCTGCTCCCACCCTCGTCCCTTGTCTGGCTCTCCCTGCCTTTCCTCGCGCCCACTGACGAGGGTGAGGCCCCCGTCTCGTTTGCCAGCTGTGCATCTTCAGTTTGGTTGAAGGTCATCATTATCGTCATGTGACGCGTGTGGACCTGAGGAAAGAGACGGAGAGCTTCTACGCCAGGCGGCCAGGTGATGCCCCTGACCTCTCACCTCTGACCCCGGATGTGAGGCAGGAGGGGCTGCAGCAGGGTCAGGTCTGACCTCAGACCTCTGCAGGAACCACAGATCCGGGGGGGCGGGGGGGGGGTAAGGGGGAGGGTCTAGTGAACACTCCGCTCCTTCTGTGGGTGGTTGTCATGGCGATGAGGGTCCAGGGTGAACGCCTTCCGGCCGCCATGGGTTTTCCTCGCTCAGCAGACTGTGCCTCGCTCAGATCTGGGTTCCCCCTGGATGGGCCCCGCCCGCCCTGTTGTGTGTCACCTGTCCCCCCCCCCGCCCCCCGACACACGGTCCCACGCGCTCCAGCCACCTCGGTTCTGTCAGGAGCTGCCTGCCCGGGGCCTGGTTCTGCCTGTAGTCGGGCAGGGCCTCCCGTGGGACTGCCGTCCGAGGCTCCGAGCGCAGGCCACCCTCCGCCCGCACGCCGAGGGCAGCGTAGGCCCAGTTTGCATTTCTTGCTTTTTCCCAGATGACTCTAGCCATTCCTCTTAAAATCGGCCAGAATTGCCTTTTCCCAACATGTCTACCTTTTCTGAATGCTTTACGTCTTGACTGTCGTGATTTCTTCTGTTAGAGCCCATTTATCCTGAAGCAAAGCTCAAACCACTGTAACCCACGGCGACCGTGCCCTCCCTCCCTCTGTGGCCTGTACTGGACACCCGCGCCCTGCGGCCTTGTGACGGGGCCGCTGCTTTCTCGTGTCCACTATGAGGAAGCAGCCCATGTCCTTCGGCCCCAATCGGCCGACCGGCAGCACCTGCATCTGCCACTCCCCGCCCCCCCCCCCCCTGTCCCCCATGCTTCCCCTCCATGTGGGATTGTCACTGACTCTTCCAGGAGAGAGCGGGCTGGACAGAGGGGATGGGGTCGACGTGGCGCTCCCCGTCCTGAGCCTGGCGCGCTGCGACCTGCCACCAGGCCCCGGCCCCGGGCATGGATGGTGAGTGTGGTCGCTCGGCCGGGCCCCCAGGAGAAAACCTCTCAAGTCAGGTCCGTTTCTTAGGTGGTGGGAACGACACCGGGTTATTTTAGTGTTTGTGTAGCTGTTGGTGATGCTAGCATTGCGTATTTAAGTCTTAAAGTTGGTCAACTTGGTCAATCATGTTCAATGTATCTGATAAGAGAAATGGGTTTTTTTATTTTGCTCATAAAATCTAGGCAGCTCTCGGCCTGTGTGGTGGGTGAAGGGAGCCGCAATCCCAAGTCGTTCTACACTGTGTGCGTGTGTCACGCGTTTAACATGGTCCGCGACGAGCTCACTCACCTGTGTTTGGTAGAAATGCTACAGGTACTTGGCAGCACAAGGAAGCCGCTGCTTAACTGGGATTAAAAGGGAGGTGGCAAGTGTGTCCACCTGTGGCACAGAGCATGGGAGGTTCAGGACACGACCAAGGACTCCGGCCCCCAGCAGGCAGGGGCAGGGTGGGGGGCTGCAGCCCTGCCTGTGGCCTGGCTGGTGTGGCCCTGTCTGCCCAGACGCCCCTGGCTGGTGGCACGTGGCTGGAGGCCAAGCGGAGCAGTCGCCTGGCGGGCAGTTGAGCTGACTGTGGGGCCTGAGACTGTGGGCGCCCGTCCCAGGCAGGCAGTGATGGGAGGGTCTGGACCGCGTCTCAGGGTCCCGTTTCCCCCAGGACAACTGACTTGTTGCTCTGTGGTCTGGCGTTGGAGGTGAGGACGCCAGGAATGAGTCCCGGGGAGCTGGGCTGTTGGAGGTGCCTGGTGACCAGGCTGTGCCTGGCTCAGTCCTCAGGTGCCGGAGGGCGACCGTGGGCCAGAGGGGGCGCATCCGTCACAGAGGAACTCGTGTCTGGTTTGTGAACTGGACGCTAAGAAGAGGAAGCAGCAGAGCTGTGTGCCGCTCTCTGGGAGCTCTGCTGCTCGGTACAGTTTCCTCCGGAGTTTGCTTCTCGCGTGCAGAGCTGCCTGCCGGCCGGAGGGCAGGAGCCTCGTGGGGCCGCCTGCGCTGTCCTGCGGGGGACGCGCACTAACCTCTCGCGGCCTCAGGATGTCGCAGATCAGAGCTGAGTTGCTGGTCTCACCGGAGACTGGATTCCAAGGACACCCAAACCCTTTGACACCAGCCCAGCTGTGGGTGCTCGTAGCTTGTAGCTCAGGCGGCAGGCACATTCACCTGCAGCGGGCGGAGAGGCCCCGTGCGGTCTCCGCGGTTACGCTGTGCTCACAGGAGCGTGGGTGATGCTCGGGGACGACACCCTGGAACTGAAGCTCACAAACGAGACCAGTCCACGTGTCTCTCTCTGAAGCCTTTCCCCGGAGAGGACCGGCTGTGTGTGGGTCGGAAGCTCCGCTGGACTATTCATCCTGAACCTGGCGAGCTTTGAGCTGGAGGCTGCCCTGCATTACAAGGGTGAGCGCAGATTCGAACCACCTTCGCTGTACATTTCACGTCACGTTAATGTTATCTTTGACTGCTGTTGGGGAGTAAGTTTTAGGGCAAAAAGCCCTTAAATGTTGCTTATTTCTCTTTGCGAAAATTCAGAGTTTCGGAACCTCAGCATCCAAGTGGCCGGGTCGTGTGCCGTGACGAGCAGCCGTGGGAAGGTCAGTCCTCAGCGCTCCCGACCTTGGCGTCTGGGGGCGTCCATCTGTCCGTCCGTCCACGTGACTCGTGCTCCCTTTCCTCCGCGTGTGACATGCCGGCTTTCCCATGAGGCCTTTGTGGGGAAGTTGTGAGGAGCCACGGTGCTCTGCGGGCTCTCCACCTGTCAGGCAGCGCGGCTGCTGCAAGGGACGCAGGCTTCCTGCGGGGATGGCTGTGTGCACTGCAGTGGGGCCTGCTCGTCTGTGATGGCATCACAGTCACATCTCATCCTGTCACCACCCATCACAGGCCTTCTGCTTACTCGCTTCCATGTTTGGCAATGAGATCGCCGGCTTGGAGCTCGACCCAGCCGCTCTGGTGAGGTCCCAGCAGCACCCCCACCTGGGAACGCAGCTCTCAGTGCTGCCCAGGTATGTCTGCCAGGTGGGTCTGGCAGGTGGGTCTGGCAGGTAGGGGCTATACGTGTCTGTGTATCAGTTGGCAGAATTCAGAGCAAAGTTCAGTAAACTCCCACCTATACTACCCTTAAGTTTGTTTTAGTGTGAAACACCGTTGTATTTCAGGATAGAATGCAGATTATAAAACAGTGTTTTTATAAAATACAAATTTACTTCTTGGGAAGATAAGAATGAGCTTGAGGGTTGGTCGCTCCTCTCAGCTGCAGGCCACACCTGCAGGGACTGGTCTGTGACCGCCCTCAGGCCCCTGTTGTGTGGAAACAGCTCCCACGGTGCAGTTCTGTTTTCAGCTCCAGTGTCTCGCCGACCTCCCCTCTGTATTTTGGAGTCGCTGAGGCGACACGTATCAAGCCAGCCGGCCACCAGCAAGCCGGTCAGTGTGACATGAAACATGAACATGAAAACGCAGACGTTGTTATCGTTGTGTCGTGCTGCCTGGGGGTGGGTCTGTCCGGGCGCCTTTGTTCCTGCCCCTCTCATGTTTCTATGCAGGGAATGTGCTAGGTTTCTGAACTGTGTACAACTCACAGGAACTCGGGAACTGCTGCTTCTCAGGGTCCAGCAGTGCAGGCTGTGGGCGCTGGGATATGATGGATCATGAGATGTTTTTTCTCGTTTCTCTAACTGCCTTGCCAGCTACTCAGAGCTCCCTGCGGGACCAGCCCCTGGTCTTCCACAGCCGCGTCCGGTCTTCCGGGTACATGGCTGCACCCCAGTGAGTAGATGGCTCATAGCCGCTCCCACGGGAGCAGGGCAGTGACAGTAGCTGTGGCCTAGTGTGTCCTGAGGGCCACCCGCAGGGCGGGAGATGGGAGACGGGAGGTGGGAGACGGGAGACGGGAGATGGCGGGCGCCACAGTTAGAATGGAGTTGGCCCCTCACAGATGTGCAGCAGCTGCAGGGCCAGCCTGCTGAGTGCTCAGTGTGCACAGGCCCCTTGGCCCCTGGGTCCTTGCCTGGCTGCAGTGGTTGTGACTGACCACCTGTGAGGAGGGACATGGCCTGGGGCCTGACCGCACTGTCCCACCGAGACCGCAGCCTCGCTCTGACCACGGTGTTAAAATCGCTGCACCCAGAGCTGGGGCGCTGCACCCAGAGTCAGGGCCGAGTGGGAGCGGCGGGCTGGGAACTGGGGCTCACGAGGACTTTCAGGTACAGCAGCCACGGGCCCCAGTGCTTCAGGGCCCGCGTGTCTCAGAAGCAGGCACTGCCCCTCAAATCTTGACCCGTTGTCTGTCTGAACCCCGTCACAAAACAGCCTGTGAGCGGGAAGCCTGGGGGCCCTGGTTGACTCGTCCCCGCTGACTCCCCTCTGCCATGCTCCCCTGATGCCCCCTGCAGCCACCCTCTGGGCTCCCCACCATCCTCCTGGGCCAGGGGCACCGCCCAGAGGCCCACCTGGTGGTGCTTGCAGTGGCCAGGCCGCTGCTCCCCTCTGTGCGACGTTCCACCTCCGGCCCCCGCCCAGCCCTCTGGCTCCTCCGCTGTGGCCTGCCCACGACGGCATGACCAGCGCTGTCCGTAGAAGTACACTGCTGCCCAGTGCAGTTCGTTTCCCAGCACTGCTGCCCGGTGCAGTTCGTTTCCCAGCACTGCTGCCCGGTGCAGTTCGTTTCCCAGCACTGCTGGCCGGTGCTGACGAGTCTCAGAGTTCAGTCACTCCGCGTATGACTGCCTGGGGACGCGATGGCACGTATGCATGGCTGTGCTTCTCACTGTTCTCTTAAGCAGCTGAGGCCTGTCACCTCGGAAGCTGATGTGAGCGTTTCCTTCCCGCAGTGTGACCATGTTCTCACCCAAGACCAATGTCAAGAGTGGCTGTAAGAGACCTTCACGACGCAGGAGCACTCACACCTGGTGGGCAGCTGGCTGACCTTCCGAGTAAACTTGGTGATTTGGAGAAACCCTGTAAATAGTGTACTGACTTTTCACACAGACCTGTATGTGTCTGTGTGTATGTACACATGTACACAGGCATGTGCACACATTGATGTATGTCCTTCAGTCAAAGTTAACTCTGATGTATGTACATGTGTACACAGACGTGTGCACCATCAATGTATGTCCGTCAGCCCGCCCCTGGTTTCTTTTGAAAGCTGGGAAGGTGATGATCTGCTCACGATGGAAGCAGTCAGTGTGAGGGAGACACGACCCACAGGATCTAAACTCAAAGCAGAACCGACCTGCCCCTCCCTGAGCCGTCACGGTGTCCCACCAGGTCACTTACATGTGGTCAGTGCTTGGTGTTTGTGCTGAAACACCTGCATGTTGGCACGAAGGGATGCTAGTCTTTCAAGAGTCATTTCGTGGTCCTGGAAGTCAGTTTATGTGCGTCTGCACCATGTCTGATGGGATGGAGTTACACACAGAAACAGGGAGATCCAGTGCATTTATTGCCCGTCTCACCTTGAACTCCCTCCTGACCTTTGTCTTCTCCGCCTCCTTAAGTCAGGAGTGCCCTTCGGACAGCCCTCCGCCGACCCAGCTCCGCAGGCGGCTGGCTGTGGCCCCGGGCCCGGTGGCCGTGCGCTGCGTGCAGTTCTCAGGTACGGCGTGGGGAGGCGCTCACTGCCCGTGTCCCTCGTGCAAAGAGTTTAAGCAACCTTGTGACCTTGTAGCCTCGCGACCTCGGTGGCCTGGAGCCATAGGGCAGTGCTGGGTTTAGACTGAGACCAGCACTTGTCCCATGTGTGTGGGAGGAGCGGGTGCAGAGCCCGGCCGCACAGCTCCCGTCTGCACTCCAGGCCTGCGGAGTCGCCGTCTCCGCCGTTTCCTCACATGAAGGCCTGGGGGGAAGGCTGCTCGGAGGGTCTGTGTTGGGAGGAAAAGCAGCCCGTCCCCGTCCCCTGGGGGGCGGAGGAGCCCACAGGCGAGGACTGTGTGTCCGTCAGCGCTGTCCCTCCCGCGGCCAGGCCGCTCGGCTCTGTGGCAGCTGTCCTGTCTCAAGGGCATCGAGACCCCTCCCCAGACTTCCCTCCTGGCCACCGGCGTTTTTCTAATGAATTTGGGAGGAGAGAGGAGGCGGCTCTCCTGAAGCAGCTCCTGGTCTCACTGATCTCCGCTCCTTTCAGAGTAAATGCTGGTCCCCAGGCCCTGCCCTCAGCCTGCGGTGGACGGGGGCCTGGCCAGTGCTGCACCCGGGCCACCTCCTCCAGCCGCTGCCCGAGTACCACTGGCGGATCTGGGGTTACTGACAGCCGTGCGGAGTCCCCTTTGCTTTTCATGCAATTCCAGCCGAACACGCTGCAGGATAATGGGAGACTAGAGCTGGGTGTGCTGTCCCCCACAGACCGCAGCCTCGCTCAGTGAACAACACGTCTGTGACGTCTGACGTGCTTGCTACTGAGCGTGGGACTGCGAGGTAGGACCCGCCATCTGAACGTCCTGGAGGAAGTCGTAGTTGATTTCTGCCTCCCCTTAGGGAAACGTGAGACGGAACTGCTTAGCAAACATGCCGCTTACGCGTCTGCTGGGGCAGGCCGACGGCAGGGGCCCAGGGCGGAGCCGTGGTCCAGGGAACTCTGGGCTCAGACCCGCATTGGCGCCTCAGCCTCGCGTCCTCAGCTCCCCGTGGACGAAGCCCAGCAGCCTCAGGGCTGGGGTTCAGCCTCAGGGAGCCGGGACCTGCTCGTCTCGGATGCCCTTGCTTCCCGAGGGGACGATCCACTCACCTGAACATCGTCTCTGCTTTCTTGAGCAGGAGACGGGCGCTGGCTGGCCTGTGGCCTGGCCGACCACTTGTCCCTGGTCTTCGATGCCCATCTGACTGGAGCACCTGCTGTTTTCTCAGGTAAGACGTGGCCACCCTGGTCACGTGAACTTACGGGCGGGTCTCTCCGGCCCTGGAGTTGGTCGCTGAGGCCCCTTTCGTTCCCTTTGAGACGGCCAGAGTAGAACACGACTTGAGTCGGGGGAGGAAGCAGCGAGGTTTAACCCATTGGCCTCCGCTGAGCCTGCCCTCCATCCAGAGTGGGGACAGCTGTGGGCCCAGAGCTGCGGCCGGAGCCCAGTTACATGTGGTGACTTCCCGTGGGCGGGCGTCCCTCTGACGTGTGGCCTCGTCAGCTCTGCTGAGTGTGGGTGAGGGAGTCGGGGTGACCTGAGCCAGGAGAGGGAGCCGCTCGGCTGGAAAGAGGGTGCGTGTGGAGGTGCCGTAGCTGGACGGTGGGTGGGGCTGCCCTCCCTTGGGCTGTGTGGGTGGCAGCACTTGGACCTCCGGGCACCTGGGCACCCGGGCACCTAGGCAGTGGTGCGGAGCCTCAACTGCCATTACCAGTGACCATTGTCAGCTCAGCAGCAGTGAGATGGAAAGTCCCTGAAAGGCCACCAGGGGGCAGCAGAGCCACTTTTTCTTGGGTCCTGTCAGAACTGACCAGAACCAATCAGATCAGACCTCTCTCTCCCTGGTCCCACCCCCTCCTCCCACCGGCTCCTTTAGGTCACGATGGGGCAGTGAGCGCCCTGGGCTGGAGCCACGACGCCCGGTGGCTGCTGTCGGCCTCCCTGGACAGGACCCTGAGGGTGTGGTCGGCCCGCAGCCGGGAGCCCGCCCTGTGCCTGGTAAGGGGTGATTCCTGGCGATTTCGGTGGCCAGCCCTGCCACCTCGAGGTCAGGGAGGCCCAGTAGGGCAGGCAGACCCTTCTCCATGCCAGGAGGTGGGAAACGAGGAGGCCAGGAGTTTGCTCAGGCACTGAAGTTAGTGACCGAACTGTTCTTAACACACGATGGGCACACGTGTAACACGCACGCACATATGCAGTGAAACGTGCCTTTCGCTTGTTAAGGTCTCAAGGTGTGCTTGTGCAGGGGAGGCAGTGACGGCGGCCTAGGGCCTGCCTCTTGGGGAGAAAGCATCTTGTTTCAGTGAACCTGCAGGTCGTCCGGAAGTGGAACGCTAGGACAAGAGGGGAGAGTGACAACAGGACACGAGAGCCGTGCACTGCCAGCCTGCAAGGCTCATTGCAGGAAAGGGCGGCGCCAGGAGGCCTGGGGGGAAGGGGACACAGGCCCAGTGCGGGCTCGGGGGTCGGGCGGTGGCCCCGCTTTCAAGGAGACCCCTCCTTGTGGGGTGTTATGGCCACACGTGTGGGCTGTGCAATGTGAGCGTGGGCCCCTCACAACTACACTTTAAAACCTGTGTAAGGTTTTGGCTTTAACAAAATCCTTGATACTTAATATTTTTGCTGCCAAGTTTTATGTCTTTTGTTTTAAAGTTTTCAATGGCCAGACCTCAAAACACTCATGACAGGAAAATCTAGTCATAACATCTTTTAGAAGAAGGGGGGAGAGGAAGCAGACATCGTGAACTGGTTGAGCAGAGACTGTTTAACATTTAGAACTGGTGGGTGTCAGGTGTAATGATGGAAGAGTGCCGGTTAGAGTAGCGGCGTTAATCCCAGTGGGATGAGCATGACGGTAGCGTGCGGGTAGTGTGACGGTAGTGTGTGGGTAGCATGATGGTAGCGTGCGGGTAATGGCCGTGATGTGCTTACAGGGCACAGACGTGTTCCCAGAGCCTGTGCACCACGCGCAGTTCTACTACCTCGATTCGTTCGTGCTCGTGTCCTCGGGCCCCGAGTTCCAGCTGCTCAGGCTCCACCTGGACACACGCAAAGATGAGATCAAACGGTGGGCGGCCCGTCCGGAGCCATGGCTCCTGTGGTGGGAGGACGCGTGTTTCAGCGATAGGTGACGTGTGAGGCAGTGTCTACATTTAAACATAGTTTTCATCCAAACTGTGGGGGCCTCATGTTACCGCGGTGTGTGTGTGTGTGGGGGGGGGGGCGGGGACTGCCTCCTGCTTCCACGCCCGTCCTAAGCCTCATTCCCAAGCCTAGGACTCCACCCACTTTGCCCTGGAGTCTGAGCTGCCCCTGCATGTCCTGGCCCAGACCCCACCCTGCACTCACCTGCCCGTCGAAGGTGCGGGCTGATGGCCTGGTTCGTCCTCACTGAGCCCCCAGCAGCTTTTCCCCGACACCTGCTGTACCTGCCAGTGCCCCAGGCCTCCCCCACCTGGGCCAGGCTGGCCTCCGTGACTCAGCCACGCTTCCCTGGGACTGTGCTCTGCGCCGTCCTCGCCACGGCTGAGACACGCGTGTGAAGCCTCTAGGGAACATTAAGCTGTTATGTGTGATGGGAGCACAGTCACTGGTACCGTGGGGTGTCTCCGAGGCCTGCGGTTACCGTAGAATTGGGAGCCAATGTGCTTTCTCACAGACGGCAGTGCCGTGTTTGTGGCTGAGATGACGGTGGTTTTCATGAAGTTGTAAAGTTAGGTGGCTGGCTCACATTCCCTCATCCTAAACCGTGATTATATTAGGGGGTATGAACACTTTTTACATGTCCAGCGTTTCACAGGTAGGACGCTTAGTTGTGGAGGGAAACAGAGACACTGACATCTTGTCTGTTCCAGATACAAACAGAGGAGCCGGTGCACCCGCGTGTTCCGGCTCCCCACGACTGGGGCTGCGGAGATCACCGGCCTGTCCGCCGCCAACGAGTTTTATTCCCGTATCCTTTCTCCTGTCCCGAGGGCTGCGGCCGGAGCCCGGCCTCCGCACGCAGCTGAGCGTCTCAGCTCCTCCCCGCGTGGCACTGCGGAGCCCAGACTCCGGTGAACTGATTCTGAACAATGTGACAGCTCATCTCAGCAGTGAGGGGCCCTACGGGTTAGAAAGGGGACGCGGCGGCGCCTCTGACCGGCAGCGGCACACGCGGTGTCGGCTCCGCGTCTGGGACCGCGTGACTCAGTGCAGGGCCAGACCCACCCCAGTGGCCTCGAAACAGCTGCACTTCAGTGGGACATAACACAGAGCCCAAAGCTTTACTTATTTTAGTCTTTAGGGCTAACATCAGCCCTTTTCATTAAAAAGCATCTATTTAAAATTACTTGGAAGCAAAAATCAAAATCTTCAGGAATCTATTTTGTAACATTTTAATTTACTCAGAGGCCTCATTTGAATTCTTTTGAAGAGTTCTGTAGTTGAAATTTCATAAGGACTGGCTTTGGTATTAGAAGGTTCTAGAATATTCTGTTAATATGCGTTATTTTTAGTCTAGAACCTTTTGCTAAAAACAGAACAAACAGCCTCCTGCGAAGTGTGCTGTTGCGCCTGCGGTTCCCCACGTGAAGGTTCTGCTCTGCTGTCCGCGTGGGGCCCATGATCAATCCCCGTGCCCTTTCTCCGATGTGCACATCTCAGGATTTGGGTAGATTTTCCTGCCGTTCTGGCTAAGCACTGGCAGTTCGGTAGTTCATAGGGTCACGAGACCCCTCAGAGCCCACGGAGTCTATCACACTCACCTGTGATGTGTCCGGACGTGGCCACTGCCCAGCCTCAGACCGGCTCCGAGCCAGCCCCTCCTCCTGCACACGCAGCCGCGCCGCTGAGCATCTCCGATTGGAGTATTTCCCAGGCGCCTCGACCCTCATTTATCTCATGGTGGAACTTGGTCTTTCACCTCGAAATCTGCTCTGCCTGGGCCTCTCCTTTGTCCTCAGCCCCCCACCCCCACTTAGAGAGGCAGGGCCCGCGTGGGGAGCGGGCTGAGACCCCACCTCTGTGGACTTAGGCGTTCCCTAACGGAGCCCAGACCTGGTGCTGGCCGCCAGCCGGAGCAGGACAGTGGAAGTTTTCGACCTCAACGTGGGCCGCAGCGCCGCCGTGATCCAGGGAGTCCATTCCCGGCCCCCCTACCAGATCTGCCAGAACCAGGTGAGTGAGGTTGGGCCTGCACACCGTCTGTGAAATGCCACGTCCAAGGCTGTCACCAATGCCATTGTGAAATGCACTTGCATGTCTCCCACCAAATCCAAGGCGAGTTCCTGTTGATCAGGAAGTCGTTCTGAGCCTGGATGTGGGGAGCTGGAGGCATTTTCACGTCATCAGGGGTGAATATTGGTGCGTTGGGCTGTGATGGTTGCATGGGCCTCTTTGGAAGCCTGGGGAGGGTCGGGCAGCCCTGACGGTGGAGTGACGGCCGTGCAGGCACCGCAGGAGCGCAGGGCAGCCACCGGGCCAGCAGCTCCTATCAGGACCGGCTGGTGGTTTTGACACGCCCACAGCAGGGCTCCGGCTCGGCGGGGGAGCCGACCTTCAGGTGGAGGCCTGTTGCGCAGTCGGCTCAAAGGACACATTGTTACTCAGAGCAGCCCTGGGAGCCTAGTGCCAACTCCGCCTGGCCTGCAGCCGCAGTTCTGCCTTCGGTGCATCGGCATGTTCCCGTTTGGGCCGAGTGTATACCCTGAAGTCCGGCCGTGACCCTGAACCTCCCGTGTTTGTGCGTGGAGTCTGTGCGGGTCACAGGCTGTCATCCAGGCCTTGGTGCCTTTCTGGGTCCCTGCACAGCACTGAGAGCTGGTGTGAGCGGGGGGGTGCTCCCTCGGCCGCTGCCCTGGCTGGATGGCGCCGAGGGCTCGGGCCACAAGGAGGTTTTCCCGGGCGGTGGCCGGGCCAGCGGCAGGGCCTCGGCGACCAGCGCGCAGGGGACGCATGCAGACGTCCCCGAGCCCTCACCAGGCGCTAGGGCCTGTGATCACAGATCGTCGAACACGGATGGTGACCTGTGCTCTGAAACGCACCCTGGAGAGCTAATACCTCAGTCCTGTGACCTCTCTCCTGGGCTTTCGGGGGGGACACGTACGTCGCTGAGCTTAAGGTCAGAGTGCACCACTGGTGATTGTCCACATGGGAGCTTTTAGAGTCCAGTTATGACATTGTTGTAAGTAAGGACAAAGCTGTGGACTTCTGGTGATGACCTTGGCTGCGATCTTGTCAGCTGTCGGCAGCGTGATGGTGACCAGCTCCGTCTCAAGATGCACCTGCTCTCCCCTTGCACCATAGGGATCGTCATTCACGACCCAGCCACCTCAGGACTATAATCTTTTCGCAACCACTGCTGTGGGCGACGGGGTCCGGCTGTGGGACCTGAGAACCCTGAGGTGAGGCTGTCGTTCTGTGCAGGGGCAGGTGTGTGTGGGTAGATGGTGGGGGGGCAGGTGTGCGGGGGAACAGGTGTGCGGGGGCAGATGTGCGGGGGGCAGCTATGCCGGGGCAGGTGTGCGGGGTGCAGGTGTGCAGGGGGACAGGTGTGCCGGGGGCAGGTGTGCAGTGGGCAGGTGTGCGGGGGAGCAGGTGTGTGGGGGGGCAGGTGTGCAGTGGCAGGTGTGCGGGGGGCAGGTGTGCGGGGGCAGGTGTGCGGGGGGCAGGTGTGCAGGGGAACAGGTGTGCGGGGGCAGGTGTGCGGGGGGCAGGTGTGCGGGGGGCAGGTGTGCAGGGGGACAGGTGTGCCGGGGGCAGGTGTGCAGTGGGCAGGCATGCGGGGGAGCAGGTGTGTGGGGGGCAGGTGTGCAGGGGGACAGGTGTGCCGGGGCAGGTGTGCGGGGGGCAGGTGTGCGGGGGCAGGTGTGCGGGGGGCAGGTGTGCAGGGGAACAGGTGTGCGGGGGCAGGTGTGCGGGGGGTAGCTATGCCAGGGCAGGTGTGCAGGGGGACAGGTGTGCCGGGGGCAGGTGTGCGGGGGGTAGCTATGCCGGGGCAGGTGTGCGGGGGCAGGTGTGTGGGGGCAGGTGTGTGGGGGCAGGTGTGCGGGGGCAGGTGTGCGGGGGGCAGGTGTGCGGGGAACAGGTGTGCAGGGGGCAGGTGTGCAGGGGAACAGGTGTGCGGGGGCAGGTGTGCGGGGGGTAGCTATGCCGGGGCAGGTGTGCAGGGGGCAGGTGTGCAGGGGGACTAGGGGGAGACCAGGACCACAGGGCGTGTGTCTATTGAAGCGCATGCTGTGAACTCAGAGCGACAAGGTTGGGGAGTCTGTTCACACTGACCCTTCTCGGAAAAGTGATTTGTACCCAGAATCGGTTACAAAATGTGGAAAAACCACAGCTCCGGTCTTTCCTCTGGGTGTTGGCTCTGGCTGCCCCCAAAGGTGGTGGTGATTTTTTTCAATAAACCCAGCTCCATTTCCCTTACTTTTGTTTTAATTTTTTTAAAAAACATATTTCTATTGATTTCAGAGAGAAAGGGAGAGGGAGAGAGAGAGATAGAAACATCAGTGATGAGAGAGAATCATTGATCGGCTGCCTCCTGCACATCCCCCACTGGGGACTGAGCCTGCAACCTGGGCCTGTGCCCTGACCGGGAGTCAAACTGTGACCTCCTGGTTCACAGGTCGCTGCTCAACCACTGAGCCATGCTGGTGGGGCTGTTTTTGTGCTTTTGGGTTTTTGGGTTTTTTTTACAGTAAACAAATCTTATGTAGCTCTTTAACAGTTGGTTGTAAAACTTAACCAGCCTTGATAGAATGTTGCACCTTCCAACAGCCTTTGAATTATTGATTCAAATAATTTATGATTTTAAAAGTAGGTTTTTATATTTTTAAAGATCTCCAGAATATACTTATCACTTGATAGTCTTCATGTATAAAAGTTGGATTATCGTTAGTTTGGCATCTTTGAGACTTTATGGTTTAGAAGTCTTTTAGTTACTGTTGAGGGTCTCTAGAATAACCTCAGTGTTCAGTCATCTTCACAAATAAAAACGTTCTTATCAGTTTGTTCATTTTTGTGAAACAGGTCAATATCCTAATTTGGGTTAAAAATGAAAAAAATCATTTTTTCTCCTGGTGTTTCTTTTATTTTCCTCGTAGGTGTGAGCGCCGTTTCGAAGGACACCCGACCCGCTGCTTCCCGTGTGGGATTGCCTTCAGCCCCTGCGGGCGTTTCGTGGCGTGTGGCGCGGAGGACAGACACGTACGTACTGGTCTCAGTCCCAGGGCTGGACGTGCCTGTGGAGAGGGCGGCGTGGGTGCTCAGCAGGGTGAAGCAGGCTGACGCTGGAGGCTGTCACGAGTGTAAGAGCAGTGGCGTGAGGTGCGAGAGGTCATCCTGGTATTTTTCTTGAAGCAGGGAACTTGAAACACCGTTGCTTATTCATTCCTTCCTCACTCAGTGACTTACTGTGTGTGACATGCTGTGTTTTCTTTGACCTCCCAGATAGTAACATGAATATATATAAAAGCCTAAGTGACCATTTGACCGGTAGCTATGACATGCACTGACCACCAGGTGGCAGACGCTCAACGCACAGGCATGGAAACACGGAACAGACTGATGAATCTCAGAGGGACGGGGGAAGGGGGGAGGGTGGGAAAAGATTAACCAAAGATCTTATATGCATCCTAGAGGTCTGGTGCACAGATTCATGCACCGGTGGGGTCCCTCAGCCCGGCCTGTGGAAATCGGGCCGAAGCCGGCAGTCCGACATCCCCCAAGGGGTCCGGGATTGCAAGAGGGCTCAGGCCAGGCCGAGGGACCCCACTAGTGCACAAATCTGTGCACCGGACCTCTAGTTGATAAATAAAGTGACACATACCTTAGGATGGATTTAGAACAAATACTAATTTATGTTTGTTTGTCTTTAACGTATTTGGGAAGGTCTGTGTAGTGTCTTAGGGATATGGTAACAAATTACCCCAAACTCAGCAGCTTCAAGCAACAGACCCTGGTCCCTGCAGCCTGGAGGCCCTGGGTCTCACTCAGGTGCTGGGAGGATCGGTCCCCTCCACTCCCCCTCCTGGAGGCCCTAAGGAGGGTCTGGCCCACCTTGGCCTGGGCTTCTCTCCAGGCCCTGCCCGTCCTCATCCTGCCCCTTCCTTGTGGGTCTCGAGTCTCACTCTCCTCTCTCGTATGAGGACACCCCAGAGCCACAGGAGCTGGCCCTGCGGCACCTCCTCTCAGAGCACGGCCCCGTGCCCCGAGCAGACTGCTGGCCCCTAGCCCTGGCCTCCTGGCCTGTGGAATTGGGACAATAATACCGTTTTCTTCATCGGGCTGTAGAGAGGATGAGGTGAGGCAGTTACATAGAAGTTGGTGCTCAATACATGTCTGCTGCTATTACTAACCTCTGTATTTTATAACCAGAAACAACAGATGCAACAGAGGTGTCAGTCTCCCGTGTCTGTGTAGCCTGGGCCGCAGGCAAGCGGGGACCCTGGGGCCCTGAGGAGCCTCCAGAAGTGAGGACGTTGTCATTGGGTCAAAATGAGAGATGACCCACCTTTGGCAGCCAGGGCAGTTTGGAAGCACCTGTGGGCTTGGTAGGGGGATCTGAGGGGCCCGGCCTCCCTGAGCTGGGGCCTGGGCTCCTCACCGCCGACCGCTGTTGGCACCCCTGCTGGCCGCCGCTGAGCTGCTTGCTGGACACAGCGTCCGTCCTTCTCCGCACCCCTGGTTGGTGGTTCCCGTTGGCGCTGAATTGGGACCAGGCACCACCTGTTGAGAGGCTGGGGTACAGAGCCTGACTCCCTTCAGATCCCCCAAACAGCCTGTCTTGACAACGGCCCACAGTGGGGTCTGGGGCAAGGCTGCTGCGTGCGATAGAAACCCCCTCACCTTCGCCTCCTTGTTCGCTGATGGCGGGCTCTCCCCACCGAACACCTGCGGCCTTGTCTTCCAGGCGTACCTGTACGAAGTGGGCTCCTGCACCTTCTCCTACAGGCTGCCGGGGCACACGGACACGGTCAGCGGGGTGGCCTTCAGCCCGTCCGCCCCTCAGGTACAGCCTCTCCCCACAGGTCTCCCCTCCTCTTCCGTGTCTGTCAGACTTGTTTTGGTGAGTTTTATGCTATTTAAGACCACGGGCCAGTTGTGATGGCGTGCAGGGAGACAGCCTGAGGAAGAAAGGCCTCGGTGTCTCCTTTGGCGTGAAGGGCTCCGCACGCGGTGCTGCTGGACAGAGCGTGGCTGGACCGGGCAGCTCTGGGAGCCCCGAGCCAGTCGGTGGCACTGAGGTGGACACATGTGCAGGACCAGGGCGGGAAGGGGAGAAGGGGGACCCCAGCTCAAGGAACTGGCCCGATTGGGAGAAAAGATTAAAAGGAAATGACAGCGGCTGCAGATCAGCCGAACAGAGTGCATGGGCTTGTGTTAAAGTACAGAGGGAGGTGTTTCAGTAGAAGATGTAAAAACATGGAGCATCCAATCGCAAGTATTTGGGAATATTGGTTTCATTCTGCTCCTTACGTTTGAAGCTGTGACTCGGAGAACATTATCGCGTGTGCTGTGTGCACGCGGAACCGCGGGCGCTGCTCTGCGGGCTGCTCGCTCACTCGGGCAGGTCCTGTCCGTGCAGGGCAGGGGCAGTGTCTGCGCCACATTGGCCGTCCTCGTCTAGCACATGTTGGAAAGTGCATCAAGCTTGTCCTGCCGGGACCACAGGTCCTGCCGGGACCCCTTGGGGGTGGGGGGGCTGTCCTCCGAGGGGGCAGGAGGAGGGACGGGGAGAGGTGGGCCCCGGGCGCCCAAGAGCAGCAGAGGCCCAGCAGCCCCCGCGCTGCCCTGCCCTCGGCTGCGCAGGTGGGATCCAGTCCTGCCCGCAGGGCGCTCCTGCCCAGCTCTCCTGCAGCCTTGGGAGACAGGACTCGCCCCTGTGGACCTCTGCCAGTCTCCCTCCACCTGGCAGGGAAGGTCCTTTAAATTCCTTCCAATGCAGCCAACCTGTGACTGGAAAATAGGTGCTCTTTCCTCATGGTTTGGATTTGAAATCTTAAAATAAGGAACAAAAAACTCATTTTGATTAAACTCAGTCCTTAAAAATTATGTTGATGGGAAAGATTTTTGCTGCCACATCTACTTGACCAGTTTTCCCTGCCTTTCTACCTCTTGACTTGGGCCCTTGAGTTCCACATTATTGAAATGTGCCCGGCATTCTCCGTGGAAACAGCCTGGAGAGCTCGCAGGCATCGGTGGGGCAGACGCCAGCCGGGAACACAGGCCAGTCGTGTCTGATGTGGCGGCTGAGCATGAGGCATCCAGGGTCCCTCTCTACCCCAAGTGTTTGCTCCTCTCAGACCCGTGTGTACCCCTGGCCGCCCTCAGGGGGCGTGGCCACTGCCCTCGGGGGACATGGCTATCACTGTTGGCCTGTTCCTCCTGTGCGTAGTAGACGCGTGTCCTCTGTGTCCGAGTCCGTGGCTCCCGCGCTGGCTGCACTCTGGGAAGCTTGCTGAGCCCGTGCCCTGCGCTCTGGAGACCCCTGAAGTCAAAGTCTCTGTCCTGGCCGTGGGCAGCCGGGGTGGCTTCCTGCCATAGCTTGGTCTTTGCTTGCTCCTCTGCTGCCTCTGTGCTCCCAGCCCTGTTTCTCTGCTGTCCCTCAGCCTTTGCCAAATGCTCCAACTCTGCCCTCCAGACCCAAATGCCACCTGTTCCTGGTGTGTCCACCGGGAGGCCTGCGGCCCCTCCTGCTCAGTCATTGGAATCCAGGCCAGCCCCTCAGGCCTCCTCTGACCACGAGACCCCTGACCTGCGTGCTCAGTGCCGGGCCTGGGCCTGCACGTAGCCCTGTCTTGCTCTCCCCACCGGCACCCATGGTGGCCAGTGCCCTCCCCTCCTCCCCTCCTCCCCTCTCCCCTGTGGTCCTCAGTCCGCTTCTGCCAGGCTGTGCGGCCCCTCCCTGGTCTCCTCTTCCCAGGGGCCCCTCGTCCCCCCCTCCACCTGTTGAGTCCCAGGACATGCCCACCCACCTCCCTTCACCGGGGCCACCCCGTGGCGACAGCGGCCTGGGACACGCTCACACCTCCTGAGGATGGTCCTCCTCGCCGTGGCACTGAGCAGCGTCTCTGGATGAGGATCGCGGGGTCTGTGAGGTCCGGCTCCCCAGAGAGAGCCACACGGGGCACAGCCAGCTGAGGTGTAACACGGGGTGTCCTAGCCTGCGGGCTCCCACGATGGGGGCTGAGCCCATGTCTCACTCAGACCCACGAAGCAGCAGGACGGGAGGGCGGCCTGGCCCTCTGACCCCTTTCTCGTGCCACCGACGCTGCATCTCCGACCACGGGAGAGCTGTCTGGGCCCTCGTTCCTGGGCCTGACCCCAAGCCCACAGCCTGGCTCGGCTCCCGGGAGGGTGAGCTGATTGGCCAGCCCTTTCTATTGCAGTTTTCTCCGTTTCTACACTCGCTGTGGGGGGAGAAGCCGGTGTCTGTTCCATCCCGATGTGGAAGGCCCAGGTTTCTAGAGGCCAGAGCTGCAGTCCAGGCTCATGAAATAACCGGCAGTTTGGACGACGCTTCCTCGCAGACACTCACTGGCTGAGTGAGAGGCTGGGGCGAGCCGTGCAGACTCAGGAAGGTGCCCACGTGCCCAAACGCAGGTGCACCCTGACCTCGGCTGGCGACTGGTTAAGAGCTGCTTCAGGGACCCGGGTCTCCCTCATTGAACCAGAGCTCAGCACCCCTGTCTGCCGGCGGAGCCTCTCTGTTGCTGGCACAGGACGTTCTGCAGTCGGCCAGGGTGCTGGCTGCGCGGGGCTTGCTCTGGGAAGCCGTTGGCCGAGTACGGTGGTTGGTCCTCATTCGTTTGAAGGAACCTGCCTCTGAGGGAAGGGCATGGCTCCATGGAGACGAGACTGGACCTGGGGGAGAGTGAGGAAGCTGCAGTCATCGCTCTCATTCGTCGGGAACACTCGGCGCAAATCTGCCTCAGACTGCACCCTGACCTGCCCCTCGGCTCCTCCGTTGCCCGCTCCCCACTCACCAGAAGGCGGCGGCAGGGCAGGTCTGGGTGGTCTTGGGTCAGGCAGACAGCACACGGCTCAGCCGTCACGCCGCACGTCAAACCCCAGCGCACGTGGCATAAGCTGCATTAGCACATCTGGGCGACATTAAGACGCCTCATTCCCAGGGTAAGGTGAGCTCCTGGAAAATGTCTCACTGCCTTTAATTTTGCCGTTGGCTTCCATGATTTATGTCGGATTATAAAAGAAAGAGGGAAAAGGGTGTCTAATAGAGGAGTCCACTTCCCCTGTTGCTGCATTTAAGGATTTGAAACACTTCCTGGTGTTCCTGCCTCATTCTCTCACCTTTTACCGCCAGACCCCGTAGAACCTAGTGATGGCGTTTGCGGCTTAAAAAGGGAGTTGCTAAAGGGGAAGGCGAGTGCCGAGCCTGCCCTCGCTCCTCCCCCAACAGCTCACTGTGATGCCCGCAAGGCCACGCGGCGAGAACCTGTGCTGGACGGGCCACGGGTCACCCGGCTCCACCTGCAGCCCAAGCAAAGGAGCGGCTGCTCAGCACCCGGCACTGGTTCTCGCGGAGCAACCCCTATGGGTGCTGGGGCCTCGGGGCCTCTCGTATGGCTCAGTGTTTCACCCGTGAACCGGTCCCTGTTTTATTTCCTAGAGAAGTCGTCTCGTGAAATGACACTTTGAGTGGCTCACAGAATTCAAAGACATTCATAGACATAGTGCATACTTAAATGTTCTCATAGGTGAGTGGGCGATACAGATAATTTCACCTTTTCTCAGAGGAGAAGTGTGTGCCCAGACGTTAGAATATCTGGACTTTCGAAGTAGGGAAGTGAAGAGTAAGCGCCGAAGCTGAGCCAGGAGGACGGGGAGACTGGGCTGTCTAGACTCCGGAGCGGAAGGGGACACGGCTGCCAACCCACCAGGAACTAAGGAGCGTGGGTGACGGGGAAGAGTCCTGGGAAGACACAGGTGTGGAAAGTGACTCAGGAATGAACAGAAGATTCAATAGTTGTATAAAAGTAAAGAGATTAAATTGTAATAAATAATAACAAATGTTCACAAAGAAAATCCCAGGATGAGATGACCTCATGGCGACCCCTACCAGACATTTAAAGGAGAACTGATTTCACTTCACAAACTCCTCCTCGGTCCCTGAGGTCGGTATTATTCGGATTAACAAATCGGCGGGAAATTAGACAAATGTCGCCTAAAAATAGCTGCAAAGATCCTCAACAAATTATAGCAGATCAAATCCAGCAATGTACAGAAGGGTTCTATACCATCACCAAATGAGACTCATTCCAGGAACGGAAGCTTGGCTTAACCAACAGAAATTAATGTACATCACATCAGTCAATTATTAGACAACAGCGCCCATTTAGGGAAGACTCAGTAACAGCAGTGATAGGACTTGCTCAGCCGATACCATCATCTCTGACCCTCTCCCCGCTGGTACTCTTCACGTGGGCAGTCGACACGTCCCCCCCGACGAGGAAACAGATAAGCCGTCCACACCCCCCCTTCTCGAGACTGCGCCGGCGGTTCTCCTCCAGACCCACATGTGCATGTCACACTCACCTGGAGACCCATGGCCAGTTGGTGACTCGTGGTTGCGTGTGGGGTTGTCAGTTCCCCCAGATGTCGGGTAACAAGTGCTGGTCATTGCCATGAGAGCAGAGTTCCTTTCTGTAGCCATTGCGTGTGGCCCCGTCGTGGTGGGCCGGACGTGGATCTCAGCATTGCGTGTGGCCCCGTCGTGGTGGGCCGGACGTGGATCTCAGCATTGCGTGTGGCCCCGTCGTGGTGGGCTGGACGTGGATCTCAGCATTGCGTGTGGCCCTGTCGTGGTGGGCCAGATGTGGATCTCGGCATTGCATGTGGCCCCGTCGTGGTGGGCCAGACGTGGATCTCAGCATTGCGTGTGGCCCCGTCGTGGTGGGCCGGATGTGGATCTCAGCATTGCGTGTGGCCCTGTCATGATGGGCCAGACGTGGACCTCAGCATTGCGTGTTGCCCTGTCGTGGTGGGCTG